TCGTTGCGAAATGTTGTAAAATGCGGATAATATAGCCTTGCGAAGTTTGCAATTTTCAGTCATTTTGCATTACAAACGGGAAATTGCAGTCCCAACACCCGAATCGTATGTCAATTTCCCGTTTGTAATACAAAATGACTGAAAAACGGCAAACTTCGCAAGGCTATATTATCCGCATTTTACAAGATTTTGCAACACAACTTTGGAATATTACTAATTTGGTGATGCTCTTTCAAGCTGTGATGAAATTTTTGTCTAGATCGAAATTTTAGTTATAAGGGGAAAGGTCCATTACTAAATATAAAACTATTTTTAGTTTGTCTGTTTTACACACAGGAAAATATTATATTAAAAAGATAGGGTGCCTAAGGTATCCAGAACTCTGAGTGGTCAGGTTTCTCTTATTTAATTTTGAAATTTATATTTTTCTAGATGGTTCCCCAGCATTGACAGAAACAGTGACAGTGACCATCACAGTATTGGATAATAATGACGTCAGCCCACAATTCATTGCGACACCATACTCTGCCTCCGTGCCTGAAAACAGCGCAGTCAACATGACCGTTTTAACTGTACAGGCAGTTGACTTGGACAAGGTTGTATAATTTAGTCCAGAATGTTTATCTCCATCAGACATCAGTTCTAAACTGTTCCCCTCAGGCGTCCAATAAGGATCGTCTCTTATTGATCCAGTGTTAATACAGGAGGAAACCTGAACTAAACTAACTTTATTTATACTGGATAGCTCTATCAGTTCTAAACTGATCTTCCTATAGAGGTCCAGTAAGGATCATCTCTTATTGATCCTGTGTTACTACAGGAGTAAACTGGAGTACTTGAAGATAACCTATGGTGTTTGGTAGAGTCAAACTGGAAGCATTCTTCTCACATGTGATTGAGGTGAAATTATAATCAGACAACTGGATAATGCAGGAATCAAACTCTGTCACAGAGATGAAAGATACATGCACTGACAACTGTGCCACTGTCGTATTTAGCCTGTCTCTTTAAATCGTTTACCTATATAGAAGTCTGTCGTCTATGTGTTTAACCCAAGAAGTTTTACATGCTATGATATATATTATATTTTAAAACAATAATTTTGATTTTTATCAAGGTTTTGGGTTGCTATATATGGAGCAATTAAATCAAGACGAAAGAAACACTCTAAATTTTAGTTTTAAAACTAATTCAACCAACTAAACTCAAACACAACTTAATATGGAAACTACTATTTTTCTACATTTGACAAATAGATTGTCTAGGATGCAACAAGGCTTTTGGGACCCAAATTTACATTCTACGTGCTCCTTAATTTCGTTTTTGGCCGTTTGCAAAATCCTCTCCTGAAAAGCCTTGTTGTTTGTTGCGCGCAGATGGATGGTTAAAATGATATTGTACATTATAATGTACATTGTGGGTACACAATTATTTTTTTATTTATTACATTTTCTAACTATTACAAACTTAGGGTCAAAATGGTGAAATCATGTACGAATTAGTCGGAGGTGATGGGGTGTTTACCGTAAAGCAAGATGGCGACGTTGCACACATCATGGTTGCTGGAAATATAGATTACGAGCAAAATCAAACATTTACGTTTTATGTAAGTACTATGGTAAATGACTTTATTCATACTGGATACCACTGTCCCAATATGAAATAGAAGAAAAGAAATGTTATATTATTCATTTATTGCCCCAGATTGTGGCTAAAGAGACACAGACTTCTGAACAAAGAGAAACAAACGCGACAGTTGTTGTGTCAGTCACAGACGTAAATGACAATGCGCCATTGTTTGCACAAAGTACTTTTGAAGTCAGTGTTGGCGAGTCATCAACTTTTCCCGTTCTTGTTGGAACTGTAAGTTATTACTACTTTTGTTATTGGCCATCGTCACTGTCATCATCATAACCATCATCACTACCATCATATCCATCACCATCTTTACAACCATAACACCATCACCATGATTACTACCACGTACTACCAATTTTACCATAGTCACTAAGACACCAACATTGTCAACATCACCATCATTATCACCATCACAACTATCACCGTCAATACCTTCGCCATCATTACAACCACTTACTACCATAATCATCTTATCATCATCATCATCACCATCATCATTATCACCATCATCGTCAACACTACCACCATTACTTGATTACTTAATAAACACATTTTCCCATCTTGTACCTAACAGGTTTCTGCGTCAGACAAAGACTCGGGTGTATTTGCTGAGATCACGTACTCTATAATACACGGAGATGAAAATGGCAACTTCACCATCAATAACAAAACAGGAGAGGTCCAAACAGGCGCCATATTGAACCGTGAACGACAAGACGAATACGTTCTCACGATACAAGCTCTTGATGGTAAGGTTTTGTAAGGTTTTGATCATAAAGCCCTTGGCAAACTAGGAAACATTGTTGCAGAAACATTGTTTCCTACCAATGTTTCGCCATGTTTCCAAGAGTGGGCAAACACTAGGAAACATTAGTGAGAAACATAGGGAAACATCAAATGTTTCTGAATTTGCTAGGAAACATTTTTGCTTCTCGGGAAGCAAATTTTGTTTCCGCAACAATGTTTCCACGGGTGGGCAAACAGGGAAACATTTGAGGAAACATTGAGAATCCCAAATGTTTCCACAACAATGTTTCCTAGTTTGCGCAGGGCTTAACTATACAAACCATTCCTGTTCATGATATAGGTGGGTGGGAGTCGTAGGTTTCACTAAGCACTATCGTACAGCAGTTGGTGGTCAACCTGCAGTTATCAGAGTGAGAAAATCATGTTCATTCTTTTCATCATATGTAGTAGTCTTGTATTTGGAGGAAACTAAATAGAATTGGGAGATTTCTGAAATTGACCATTATCTGCTGCCCTGGAACTCCCTGGAGCCCATGAATTAACGACCATAGATGATTTTATCTTAAGGTGGCTCTCCTCCTCGCAAAGCTGTGACAACTATGATCGTCAGTGTGACTGACCAGAATGAACAGCCGCCATATTTCGAGGACACACCGTATAAAGCAGAGATTGTCGAAAATAAGGAATATTCTGATTCCGTTGTTTTTAAGGTGATTTAAAATTCAAACTAACTTTATTTATACTGGCTAGCTCTATCAGTTCCAAATTGTTCTCCCTAGAGGTTCAGTTATTGATCCAGTGTTACAATAGGAGGAAACCTAACTAAACTAACTTTATTTATACTGGATAGCTCTATCAGTTCCAAATTGTTCTCCCTAGTCATGTATTATTGATCCAGTGTCACTACAGAAGGAAACCTAATTTTTTTTTTAAACTGAATAGCTCTATCAGTTCTAAACTGTTTTTCATTGTGGTACAGCAATGGCCATCCTTTTTTACTTCTACTATTTTGTACCATCTAGGTCAAAGCAACGGATCCAGATCAGATGGCTGTTACTTACACTCTGGAAAATAGCTCTGGATTCAGTATTGGTTCGACATCTGGTATCATCTCAGTTACTGGGAGTTTTGATCGAGAAACGCAATCAGTGTATAATCTCACTGTGACTGCAACCGACCAAGGTGGTTTAAACGTCTCAGAACAAGGTAATGACGGTTTATGAATGACGTAACATCATTGACTAGTAAAAAAAGCATGTTTCTTTAGACTTCTGAGCCAGATTTAAAGACATCCCAAATATCAAATGATCATCTGTAAATTTGAACTGTTTTCATACATTTCAAAACGAGGATCTGACTTTCACCATCTGACAGTCACCATCATCATCATTACCACCACAATCACCAGTATAATCACTATCATCATCACACCACCACCACTATCACCCCCGCCACCACCATCATCATTACCACCATCACACCACCACTATCACCACCATCATGACTACCATCATCACTATCATCATCACACCACTACTATCACCGGCACCACCAAATCATTATTGGTTATTGTTAACCTACCCAACCACTACTCTCATTTCATCTAGTTTTAATCTCTGTGGAAGACACAAACGACAATAGCCCACAGTTTCTGAACACTCCCTACCAAACAAGCATACCGGACAATACAAGTATTGGAGTGGAAATCCTCACTGTTCAAGCGACCGACATGGACGAGGCTCATAACGCAGAAATAATTTACTCTCTTCTGGGAGCTGAAGGAAAATTCATTATAAACCAAACAACAGGTGTGTGAAAATGGTTTGCTATTTATCGCGGTAAAACTGATAGGTGCTAATAAACCAAAGAACAGTTTAGAACTGATAGAGCTATCCAGTATAAATAAAGTTAGTTTAGTTTAGGTTTCTCCCTGTAGTAATACTGGATCAATAAGAGATATCCTTACTGGACCTCTAGGGAGAACAGTTCAGAACTGATTGAGCTATCCAGTATAAATAAAGTTAGTTTAGTTTATGTTTATACCTGGAGTAACACTTGATCAATAAGAGATGATCCTTACTGGACCTCTAGGGAGAACAGTTTAGAACTGATTGAGTTATCCAGTATAAATAAAGTTAGTTTAGTTTATGTTTATACCTGGAGTAACACTTGATCAATAAGAGATGATCCTTACTGGACCTCTAGAAAGAACAGTTTAGAAGTGATAGAGCTATCCAGTATAAATAAAGTTAGTTTAGTTTAGGTTTCCTCCTGTAGTAACACTGGATCAATAAGAGATGACTCTTACTGGACCTCTAGGGAGAACAGTTTAGAACTGACAGAGCTATCTAGTATAAATAAAGTTAATTTAGGTTTCCTCCTGTAATAACACTGGATCAATAAGAGATAATCCTTACTGGATCTCTAGGGAGAACAGCCTTGAACTGATAGAACTATGAAGTATAAATAAAGTTAGTTTAGTTAATGTAGACACCTTTTCATGATCACCATCAAATAAAGCTAAGAAACTGGCCTGAGTCCCAGTAGTTCCTTTCACACCTCGAAATTTCAAGTTTTCTTTGACATGCATCAAGTTTGCAAGGTCCTGAAGCAGGTCAGATATCCACAGACATGCTCTCTTGCCAACTGTTGTTAACTGTGCTGGCCTGTAAGAATATCATACATGACAAGGAGTATATTACAGTGAGTTGAAACACTGAAGTGTATTAAAAAAACAAGATACTAACTGGAAATGAGTGAAACCAAGCGTTGGAAGAGATTTGTGTTCATTGGCAAACTTTGACAGTCTTTCACAACATCTTGCCAACTAGATTAAAACAATGCTCCATTTAGACTCTTATTATCAGTCAACAAAACAACAACCATTATATGTACAACTTTGAAGTGCAATTATTTTCTTCATTTTAACATACTTTAGGTAGAAGGATATTCAAGCCATCTTTAAGAACTATCAGGTCCTGAAATAGAGACAAAAACATTCACTGCCTTCTTCCATCAAGTCCCCCCCCCCCCCCAACTGCTTTTGCAGCATGTGGGGGCATGTTTTTTCTGGAGGTGGGGGCATGTGGGGGCATGTTTTTTCTGACAGATTTGGTGGCATGTCTGCCTTTGCAGGGGGATATTTTCAGGGGGTGGGGGAGAATATATCTTCAAAGAGTGTGGGGTCATGGGGTGTGGGAAAGAATGTCTATATAGGGTTGTGGGAAAGAATGCTTATCTAGGGTGTGGGGGAGAAACCTAAATAGGGGTGGGAAAGAGCATGTTTTCTGGCCAGTGGTGAGGGGAATACCTTTTTCAGGTGGGGAGTATATCTCTAGGGGGGTGGGGGATGTCAATGCCTAAGGTTCCAACATGATTTTAATCACTTACAGTATTATCCCCCACATAACAAGAAGTTGCACCGAGATGGATGATTGCTGCAGCTCTGGGACAACACGCTCCAAAGGTATGAACATGAGCCATGACATCATGACGTCTCTTCTTCTCTTCCTCCGCTGCAATCTTGTAGTCAATCTTTGTTATGTTGTTCTCCATTTCTGAAATTTGTTCATCTGTAATATTTAATCCCAGTTCCTGAAGACAGAATATTAGTGAGTTATAGAAAGTGTTACAGAAACGTTTTACAGGGTAGCACATAATGGTGACCTTCGCAAATGTTGACACTTCTAGCAAGATAATTAATTAATTAAACTGAAAGCTGGGGATTGATATAACCTGCAATCAGGCCTATAAATAAATAAATAAATAAATAGGCCTGATACAAACATTAACAAAAGTCCATGCCTTACAACCGTATTTCAGTTGTAAATCTGATTGGTCTACAAGGCAAAACATTTTTTAATCTGTCATTTGATTGATTGGTGCTAATTGGATTATACTATTGTTAACGATATATTTTATAGTGATCACAACTATAATTAGGTTGTTGTTGTCGTTGTGTGAAATTTGAATTTCTCCTGCAACATTTTGATTGGATACTAAATATAAACTTTGCTGTGGGTGGAAAGCTGACGGATTAATGTTTGTGTCAGGCTATATTTGTAAAACTAAAACTGTCTGTGTTGGTAGTACCAAAGTGAAAATGCTGTGCTGAGTGGTTATATTACTACCTTAAAAAATAAGCAGAAACTCGACGTTTCGAGCGAAGGCCCTTCGTCAAGAGTTAGTAGCATTTGTAAAATAGAGCCTGATACCCAGGTTAGGACGTTAGCCACTAACATCCCGATGAAGGTCCTTCGCTTGAAATGTCGAAGTTCTCCTTGTATTTTCTCATTATTGCCACTACCTACACTGGCATAGATTCTTTAAACCACATACAGTATCTCAATTATATTTATTTGCCTCCAAATACAAGATAACTACATTACATTATTAATTTACATCTAATGAAAAGAATGAACATTATTTTCTCACTCTGATAACTGCAGGTTCACCACCATCTGCTGCACGATAGTGCTTAGTGAAACGCATCTCTACTAGGACATCTAGTACATAACAAAACTATTTAAAACACCAATAATCTACCTTTTCTGCCTTGGCCAAATACAGCCATAATTTTCGCCATGTTGTGAACTTCTTATTGTCGGAAAAATTATAAGACATCTCTTTACTGGCATAACGACTTGTTAAAGGACTTCTGTACGAATCAAATACTGAAGGATCATCCATTTCACCTGCAAAAACTGGACAAAAACTTTAAAATTTGGTTTAAAAATTAAAATGTTCGAAACATGTGATTAACAGTGCTTTAAATATTTTGTTTCGCGGATTTTCCCGCCTTGCGCCAGACCTCTGGCAGTGTGGCTGCGCCAAAATGAGTTCGCCAATTTTGTTTATGTTTATTTTTTGTTTGTTTATTGCTGTTGTTTGTTTTGGTGGAGTGACATTCTCGCTGTTTACATCCAATGTGAGTAGGAAACTATTTAGTTGTTGTCGATTTTATGTTTATTGCGAACTTTAGACTTTTTCAAAATTATTTACACTTGTACCGTAACGTGCATCTAATCATGAACACTTGCAGATGAAAGCATTGTAAAGTCACGTGAAACTACAGTGTTTGTCACGTGAAACAACAGTGTTTATCAAGAGCATTTGAAGGTGTCAATCAGCTCAGCCAGTCAAACTTGACTGGCTGGTCAATATTACTGTAAAAAATGTCAAATGCTTTTGACAAACATGAAAGTTTTGTGCAAGAATAGACATTGTTTTATAGTGATGGGCGATTACCGATTACTTGGTATCGATACCACCCGATACCAGGCCCAAATTGGAAGTAGTCGATACTGCACGGTATCGAAAAAGTGTTTTGATTACTTTTAGGGTTAGACATTCATTATCATTCTGTAGTTGTGTCATTGTTTTCATGGTTATTTCTAATAAAATTTATGTACTTTTTTGTATTTTGCTGCATTTACCAATTTAATCAAACTTCCTTTACCTGATTTGACATTCTATCCACTTCCCTGATTGATATTCCTGAACTCGGCGACAGAATAAATTATGAAAAAGGCGGGAAATAAATTAATTTTTGTTTTTTCATGGTTATAATGGCGAAAAATTCTGAAATACAATCGTCATCGTAGTAATCGTTTGGGTAATCGATACCTCGATACGTTTACGAAAAAGTAATCGCATCGTATCGATACAGGTGGTATCGCCCATCACTATTGTTTTATTTGTGACTGTTCATCCTTTGATCACCCAGGCAGCTTCGGCTAGCATGGATTCACAGAATACAAGACTATTGGATATAATAAAAATTAATAATTCACTCTAAATATCTTGCTGCACAATGCTTGGTGAAAAGTGAAAACCACATATATTAATGATATGCTATATTCTCAGAATTTTCCGGCTTGCTGTCTCGAGTATGGCACGGCGTGTTATTTTGGGTTGTTAATTCCAACCACAGTGCCAGTGTTTGTTGTCTTCGTGTATTGTAATTGGCTCGGACACAAGTTTTTCATTCACAACTGATTCTGGTATCTTACAGGATTTGAACATGAATTTCAGGTGAGTTATCTTATAATATACATGGTGGCATGGTGTCACCAGAGTTGAAGGGAGGGTTGAAGTTAGGATTAAAATTAGATTTAAGGATTGGGATTGATTTTCAGGTAGTTGCATCCCAATCAATCCAAAGCAGAACATATTCAATTACCTATTTCATTAGAGACTGAGGGGGGACCACACCCAGTTCATCAATGGGACCACACCCTTGTTCCAGCAAAGCTTATCTCTAACCCCCCATGTCTTAGTCTCCCTACAGGAGCGTGTTTCATTCCCAGAGGTTTATTCAATCAAAATCTTAACCTAATAATCATTTCAGGTGGCTCAACCTTATCTGATGTCTCTGGTGTTATCACGCGCCACCTGGGCTAGTGATCTACCATCTCAATCTATCTTTTCACAAGTTGGTTGGCCAACGTATCTGAGTAATATTACGCTATGAAAAGTGCCCATAACATAACAACTCCATCATGAAGACGGTTTACCAGCGAAACAACCATGCCTGAACATTCATTTCAAATTCTGAAATACCAACTTCGCGATTCATAACAAGAGACGCAAAATATGTTAATTAAAATGCTATCTCAAACTCATTACTATTCACAATAAACATCCATAAATTTCGCGTTGAATTTGTCTTCAAATACCGATTCATTTGAGACGTTTTATCAAAGACGAGGACTAGTTTATTACAGTGATATCATATGAAATACCGAAAAGTGTGTTGAAAACGACGCGATAGCTAATTTCGTAAATCATAATACACGCCTTCGATAGTGATGTCACAAACCTCTCCCCAGCACGGCAGCCTCGTTCTGATGAGACGTAAGCGAATGGCATTTCATCCTTACTCACGAGAACGAGGCTCCCAGGCCAAAGGACGTACTCGTGACAAGGGTGTATTCTTTAAATAGTTTCGACATTGTATATTACGTGTCTTATTGTCAGAAATAAACATCCTTCGCTTTCGCTTGCTGTCATCAAGTCACACGCTTGCCGTCGCTCAGTCTTGCCTAGCCAGACACTCTGCCTTCCACAACGGAAGACGAATGACAAGATACACTTCCTTTTTGACTTAAACTGCCCGAAAACATTTTAATACGAGACAAGAAGACCCTATACCTTCCCTGCTTTCAAGTTAAAAACGTTCTCGTACTTTTAAACAAGAGAAACAATTCAAAAACAACTTTATACAGTACAGTACTGTAATAGTTCATTCACATATCTTCAAGCCGCCTTGCAAATGCTTGCTTTTAATCTAAATTATATAGCACTTGATGCTAATCTATTCTTGGATCTCATATTAAATTAAACAGCCTAAAGCCGGATTCTATATATAAATATTGACTGGATATTCTGGCGAGGCCACCCAGAGTAAATTTTTTGGTCTTGGTACAGTACAATGAATATGATATCACTGGGTTTCTCCCGCTATGACCACTTACTATCACACACGGAATCACACAGCTGATAGTGGTCAACCTGCAGTTATCAAAGTGGAGAATTGGAGAAATAATGTTAACTTAATTCGTTCAGTCTTGTATTGGGTGGTAAATAAATAGAATTCAGAGATTTAATTTTCTTACTCCTTGAAGCGTCATTTGTGAAGTTGACTAGCATCTGCTGGGCTGTACCGCTCTGAAACTCGTCGTAACAGATTTTTTGCATGCTTTAAATAAAGATTGGAATGAACCAGCGATAAGCTAATGCAATTGTCTTCGGAAATTTGGCAGTTTTATGAGGAAACTGCGAGATGTTTCAGATATAGCTCACACATAAACCCTATAATGAAATTTACAGCGAGATCTTGGAGTTTATCGCAAGTGTATATATGAACCTAAATATCTCTCCAAATACCTTGGCCAAATGAAGTTGTCTGTTACGGGTATTAATAGAGTCAAAAGCACTTATAATTTCCATGTGATGTGTATCGTGCTTGCGAAACCGTTTGCAAAATTGAACGCCTTGGAAGAAGCAAGTATGGAAGTAACCGGTTCGCTTTACTTTATAACATTTTCATTATAACTTGTTGCACATACTTGCAAAAACGGAAGTTTTTAAGGGGCCTGCCCTGCTTGACTAAACTATAAAACAGTTTATCTGATAAATTCACAAAAATTTAAATTCTTTCAACCATGTTGAATCGTTCAAACTTATCTCGTTCCTCAAAAAGAATGCACAGAAAAATCTGGATAATTAATAGGCTTGGCTAGTCGTAGAAGAATCCTGGAATACTTGAGAATAATTTAAGATAGTTTAAATGATATTGTCACCAAATGGACCGCATATATTTCTGTCGCCTTTTACCGCCTACAAGCCTAGGTACAAACATGTCAAGATGACCAGTTTGGACAACTTTATCTCGCTAAGCGGGGACTTTCAAAGAGTAAAAGAAAGCCACCTTATCGTGGAGACTTTATTACAGCTAGAAGTGTCTACAATTAACATTAATGCCGTCAAGAGGTTTAACTTTTATATAAGTCAAATTAGGACACTAATGTGACACGTGAATGATTTATGTTCGTCGCGCATTTTCAACAAATTAATTTGTGTTGTATATTTTATGTATATATAAGACTTTACATTGCGCGTTTTATGCAAAATAAATTGGTTGTGCAGTTTATGCAAATAATTTTTGCGTTGCGCATTTAATGCAAATCAGTTTTGCTTTGCGCATTTTATATGAGTAAAACTGTAGTAAATTGCGTATTTTATGCAAATAGAGCGTGAGTGGGATTAACACGCGGACACACAACTCTGTGATAACGAGGCGCCAATAAACCTTATTAGAATCAATTCAAATTAATTAAATCATGATCCGACAGCCACGACGGGTGGTGAGTGGCTTCGCGCAAAGCAAAACATACTTTGATATAAAATCAGATAATCGAATACTGCAACCTGATTGGTCCATCACGAGTTAAACGTGATCGGTGAGGTTTGATGGCCGCTGTATAAACTCCCGTTGCAGAATGGCAACTTTCAAACCACCCAAGGTTGCTGGAATAAAGTTGACGCAGTCCAAGCACCATGAATTATCACTATTACCCTCCCGGGATTACATACCAAGGCTTGAACCAACATTTAAATCAAGTGGCATGTTACCACCACGATGAGACCAACTGTCGATGCAATCCGCAAGCAATTTATCAAAACAGTTTATTTGGATGCACCAGGGCTATTAATCATCCAGTCACCAGTTTTGGGATGGGGAGCTTTCCTGGTAAGTTTAAATAACAAAACCAGTTTTCAACGCAACTTACACGCAGAAAAATATCGGGAAATACTTTTCAAAGGAAATTCGATCATAACGCATCTTTGAACATCTCACTAAAGACTATAATCTTATTCTATTTTAATCACGTTTTTTGTAACAAAATTTAGAAAACAGTTTAATTTTTCGAACATGCAATTTAGGAAAAGCTTAACTGATTTATGAATGATCTATTACAGTTTTGATAAATGGTAGTTGTTCTCGCAATTAGCAAGATGACGCATCGTGAAATATGGCTTTCGACCGCACGCGCAAAAGATTCAAGATTCTCTTTTTGCGCAACAAAAAATGTTCTCCTTGCATTGTTGGTCTAATCCTTGCTAAAACTTTGTTTGATTAAGAAGATCTAACTTGTATGTTTGTCTTTGTGTTGTACAGACGATGTTGAAATAGCAGTGGACCTTTCAAAGATTCGTGTGACGCGGACACGACGAAGTCGAATGCAATACAGTCCTTGGCAGGTCGAGGAGATGGAAAAAGTGTTTCAGAAAACGCATTATCCAGACGTCTTTGTGCGAGAAGCGTTAGCTGTTCGTCTCGATCTCGCTGAATCCAGAATCCAGGTAAGAGCTTGCGTAGCTTTGCGCGATCTAAGATATTTTCTGCGTCCATTGCCCAGAGAGGAAGTTTAAGCTAACACTAACACACTAACAGGTCAGGCACGCGAGGTCCTTCGCTATGAACACATTGAAATTAATTGTAAAGCGAAAATGAAATGAATAGTATAAGAGATCCCACAAAGCTTCGTCCTGGGTATGTTTGCAACGTCCCAACGATAAATCAAACAATTCACGTTCTGTATGCAACACATCATACAGCCTCTCGGTTGTTCAGTCCCTAGCCTTAATGCCATTAACACATTGAAGTCTCCTTCACAGAGCATTGCCGTGCGTCTATTAACGTTCATCTCGGATTTAGCACATCATTTGTACAAGAGTCTAAATGAGCTTAAATCTACAAATGTTTCCTTTGGGGAAATGTGTTATTGAAATGCATTGCGCTAAAATGTCAGCTATGTTTCCTCTTTGAAAATGAGCTCACATTATGATTATATGTTTAGTTGCTGTCGTTCTGTGTAAATCTATACTGAAAATCTGTTCATGTATAAGAATTTAAAAGAATCAAGATAAATTCCCAAGCGTTCTCCTCAATCCTTACAGAGGTGTTTTAAGTTTGTTCAATTGCGTTAAAATGTTGTGTTTATGTACAGAATTATGTACATCTAAGTATTAGTATTGTTAAACATATGGCTTGTTGACAAATTCATTCTGGTTTTCTCACTTATACTGTACAGACAAAAGAATGAACACCTTTGAAAATGTTGCCTTTAGGGGGAAGGCTTTAAGTCTTTGAAGATTTTTTAACAATATTTTAAGCGCAATTGGGTGCATTGCCATTGGCTTGTATTTATTTGACTTATTTGAGAAGATAGCTATATAGCATTTTTACCAGTACAAAGTTGTACATATTTGTATTTTTACCAAATATTTTACTGGCAAAATATTGTATGGGATCAAACTTGACTGATGAAGTCTAACATTTCAATTAAAAGACGAAGAGTTATGTTGCTTAAAACAACATCATCTTTTTAGGCCCTTTAACACTTATACAAACACGACATTTTCTCAAGAATATCAACCTAAATCGAACAGCCTGTTTCAACATATTGTTCACAGTTGTTTAACAAATTTCAAGCCATAACCTACAGCAGTTTTAGGGCGAGATAGCGTGTTAGAAACGTGTCTACAAATGTGTGAAAATTGTCGGACAGTTTGGCACTTAACCACCGACACCTCTGTCAGCCATCTGCTGGAAAACTATACAAATTCCCCCTCAAAATTTTATATAAACCATCATAATGTCCCCGTGATTAGTTTAGCTACAGCTTTATGTAATTTTTGGCCAGAATGGCTGAACAGAATTGTGTCTATACAAGATCATGGCCGGATTAATCTATCTTCAAAAGAGCGCCATTGTGTCGTCTCACATTCACTACAAAAACACCTTGTACATATATTGTGTACTCAAGCTATTTTCGTTTAAAACTCTCAAAAACAATGCCCTAATACCCTTTATACTTAAACCTTTGCTCTAATGACAATTTCCTAGAGATTGAACAAGTTTTTAGTAGAGTTTCCTGAGCATTCATTCAGTTTTGCTAGCGTGCTAGTTCCCCAATGCTGTGTTATGTACAACCTGGCCATGGAGTCGCTGTGCCGGGTAGACAAGACCCAATTTCCTGATTTGGGAAAAGCGAGGAACGCTGGCTACTAGAGATAATTAAATACAACGTTTCTGCCTTTCTGCTTTAAATCTGAGATTGCAAGTTTCAATATTAGCATAATTTCCGACATCTAACTTAAAATATGTTACCAAAGCTCAGAACATTAACTTTTGTTTTTTAGAGATGAGTAAGGACCATATTCTTCTCGTACTGTACGAGACGATTAGGCAACTGCAAATAGAAAATTTGACTAACGTTTGTTTATATATATCCAATTCATAACTTTAGACATGCCTAGTTCTAGTTGACAGAAGTTATAGTTGACATGCAGAAGCGTAGTCTAATAATAGAGCAATGGTAACTAAGCTTTAGAATTATCTCCATGAGTAAATGACTCTTGTACATAACTCTAATGCTCAGTTACCTTTCTTCTATTCTATGTTTCTGTCAACTAGAACAATAGTAACTAGGCATGTGAGTTCTCTAAAGTTTGGGTAGCAATGATGTAAACGACGTCAGCCAAAAGCTCAGACATGGTGTAACCACAAATTGTTCCTTATAGTTTTAACGTTAGCGAAATTTGCCTGTTGAACTTCGCCGACATGCTGAAGTGAATGGGATCGCCAACATCCCATGAAATCTCATAGTTTGGCTTCGAAACTTAAGCAAAATTATGATCCGCAACCTTTAATAGTAACTAGGCATGCATGTATGTGAGTTATCTAAAGTTCTGAATTGGGTAGCAACATTTGTCTATTGAACTTGACTCACACAGGTGATTGGCACACGGACCACCAACATCCCATAACATCTCACAACTTAAACCTTAATTAATCAAACATGCCTCATTCTCTGGTTTGGCTTCAAAACTTAAGCAAATTATGGCGAGACAACTGCATATTGCAGGAACCGAATGTGACAGAGGTGAAAGATACTGAGGCACCATGAGTACCATATGAAATCTCACAATCTAAACCATCCCTCGTTCTCTCTAGGTTTGGTTCCAGAACAGACGCGCACGATGGCGTAGAAAGGAGAACACGGTGGCCACTCCGGGAAGACGCAGTCTCTCACAGCTCGAAAAACCTACAGAACTTAAATCAACACGAAACGAGAAAGATGACACGAACTGTACACGCACGAACATTAAACACAGCGTGGCAAACATCCTTGCCAAACCGTCCAAAATTATTCAAGTTCCATGGAAGGTTCCGAAACGAGGCAAAAAACAACGGAATCAGGATACGACAAAGAAAACCATCCTCGCATCGGAAGCGTTGCGGCCTGAACGTGATTTATGCAAAACAAGCGAAGATGCGTCAGAAATTTCCACGCGATAGCGCATTGTTTGGCGCGAAAGTAAAGCTGACTCGTTTCCTATGGGTTATAGGTTTCCAGAAACTGTTGCGGTGAAAATTCTACTGAATTCTGTATTAAAGACTGAGAGTTCTGCTCAGTTCTTCATTATCGTGATATCTATACCTTAGTATTCTATAATATGTTGCCGTGGTTTGTGTCTGAACTCCCTGAAAAATATTAAAAATACTTCGAGATTTTAACTGGACAGCACTTGGAACCTCGAAGGCACTTCTTTTGGGAGGATGGTAGTGGCATAATGGCATTAACGTTCAGACACAAACCATGGCAGCTTATTATACAGTACTACCTACACTGGAATATTAAAATATTGAAAAAAGAAACTAACGTACCAGTTAACGATTATTCTTTTTCCTTGGGTGACCATGAAGAGATTGCGCGCTACATTTGGAAATCAATCCTGGAAGGGCAAGAATTCAATTTGAATTAGGTTTCGCGGGAACGAAGCAAATACTTGTTTTAGTCCAAAACTACGGTAAACAGTGTACATTTGAAACTATAAACTGACACAGTGTGTCGATATATTTTGTTGAAATTAAATCTTTTTGAGATTTGAGTTGAAATATTTATTAAATTTGTTGTACTTTGATTGAAAAGATGTAAATTGTGTTCGTCATAGATGAATGTAGAAAATGTTATTTTACTATTAAAAGAAATTTGAAATGACGTATTGTTAGTTGTGTCGCTTTGTGCAGCATTTAGTATGACAACAGTGCCATCTAGTCATGATCATGCAGTGATAGGAATGTTCCATTGTCTTTACATTGTTTTGAAAAAAAAATGACACTGTTCTCCATGCCACCCAGTCACGATTGGCGCCAGTGATCAGAATGTTCCATTGTCTTTCATTGTTTTGAAAATCCCACTGTTCTCCAAGCCACTCAGTCACCGATTGTTTTGACTTACTTTAGTAAAGGGCCTATTTCCTATTTCAGATTTCTAACTAGTACCCCAAACTAATCAATTCTTGAAGATTTTAGAAAAACATTCTTGACCTTTTCTGTGTCATGATTTTATCAGAGAGAATATAATTTATATCAACATGCGAAATATGTGTTTTTCTATGTACTCTGTAAAACTTCGCTTCAATGAATGAGGTGTGAGGGGTCCTGAGTCCTATACGGTGACAATAGTATATCATTTGGAATAGACAACATTCAGACAAAACCATGTACTAGAAATAGAATCAAAAGTTCTGTATCTGAATCTTTAATTTAATTTTCCTTTTCTCCAAACGAGATAGGAAATCTAAAGATAAATTTTATGTAAACTTCTGTTTCTCCACGATAAGAAAAAAACATCTTATCACTTCAAAATAAAAACAATCATTTGTTTCTGCGTGTGGAAAAGTCTGGGAAACGGTTTAGCTCTTTGTTTCAGCAATTTTGGAAAAGTATTGGAGGAAATGAATCGACACTTGCTTACAGGGTTGCTACCCAACTCACAACTCTAGATAACTCACGTTACAAGTTACTACTGTTCTAAATAACAAAAGCATAAAATGGAACACAGGCAACCAATCATTAGAATTATCTAGTCGAGTAATTCACTCAGTCATGCAGATAATTCTAATGCTTAGTTACATTTGTTCCATTCTATATGCGACCATGCTTTCTGGAACAATAGTAACTAGGCATGTCAGTTATAAGAAGTTACGCATTAGAAATTCAAATTTACTTTTTTCGTCTAACACATTCAACAACTGAACACAATTTGCATTACCTGCGTGCAGAAGGCAACTAACACGTGCGCATTACACGAATATCTCATTAGCATAATGAGCGTCAATAATGCGCACAATATAAACAAGTTAGCAAAACAAGGTCACGATGGTGAAAAATAATGATCTGAAAACAAGAGATAAAATATTTGTCTTAGATATTGCTGAGTCAACTTTGTAAGTAAATTATAGTGTTTGGGTAACAAATTAGAGCCAGGCATACAGTGGGGTTTCAAGGTAAATAAAGGCATAACCTTGAATGATCTGTGCCAGTGGAGGTAGTGCCAATAATAACGTTTCGGATTGATAGGGATATACAACTACCTGACTATAGCTTCCCAGGGTTTATTTTAAGAAAAATTTAGAACTGCACATATTGGGATGTTACGAAGGCAACGGGTGTTTGGTCGAAGGATTTTTACCTTCATATAGGTGACAGAATAATGGAGTGGTTGGGTGGGAGAATTGGGGAAAGGCCAGACAAATTCGATTTCGGGTGCGGGAGCTAGGGGGTGTTCCCCCAAACAATTTGAATCTAGAGGCTCTTAAGTTCTGGCAAAGATTTGTTTTACCCAACCACTCACAAAAACTGTTTCAAAACATGCAACAGGGAATCATGGATATTCAATATAAACAACCTTAAATTTGCATTTGAGGCAGCAAAGAATATTAGGTTCTCCCACTATAATCTCTTTTAGGGAGCTTCGCTCGCATCAATTTTACCTTATTTTCCATCAACCCGGCCCAGCACGTAAGTGATTTGTGAGGAAAATAGGAGGGTCTGGAGTCCTCCTCCAGAAAAGTTTATATTTTTGATGCTCAATTAGTGACAGCATTTCTGGAATTTTCTGGAGCATCCACAAGGGTAACGAGTAAATGTTAGTTTGGTGACTGCACATTTGTGTTTTAAGAACTGCACAAATGGGTTTAGAACTGCACATTTTGTGTAGAACTGCACGTTAAAATAAACCCTGTAGCTTCCTGACGAAGACCCGACCCTCTACTAACTTCGAAGTTCTCCTTCTAAATAAAGGTATGGGTGTTTCGTGAGCGGGGTTCCATTGCCTGACCAGATGTGAGAGGAGTACTTCCAGTTTGATAATGGCTGAAAGAGATGGACGGGAGGCAGGTTTTCAAGATTGTTCAAAGGTTCACACAGGGACGCCGGAACTGGGGGGAGGGGCAGCAGCCCCCGTTGCCCTTTATTACCAGGAGGGGCAAGGGGGGCAAAGGTGCCCTTTCAATTTAAAGGATTGCCTTGGCGAAATAGCAAATTGTCAGAAATGTTAGTGCAATTCGTTTACGAATTTGCTTCAGAAAACGCAAGAAATGCAGTCATCGAGCTTCAAGAATAGCACAATCACCTGGCGGAGAACCCCCTCACACCCCCATCATCCAATAAATAGAAAACATGATTAGGCGAAGTTCAACTCCCGATGTTTTGCAAACATCTATTAGTATATATCCATTCAAAAGTGCCCTTTCACGAAAATCTGCCCGGCGTCCCTGGGTTCACAGGTCGCTTTAGTTTAGGGTTAATGTTATAGGTTTGGGGTAAGATCAGGATAAGGTTTAGGGCTGGTTCCACGGGGATTTTTTTTCAACCATTGTAAAATTGTTCGAAAAGCTATATAAAACTATATACGGATATGGAACTCGCAAAGGCACTTTAATTTAGAAATCACTAAAGTTTACTATCTGCATCGCTATAACAATCAACGGACAGAGAGCTTGAAAAAAATCGCTCTCTGGTTTTCATAACCAGGATCCAGCCCAGTTTAGAACAGATAGAGCCATCCAGTAAAAATACTGTTAGTTTATAGTTAGTTGTAGCAATAGGGTATGGCATCACCAGACCTCTAGGGAGAACAATTTAATGAAACGCACGTATTGTACTGGCTGGAAAAAGGATGCGTTGTTTAGTTGTTATAAAAATATCAATCGATTTAATCCGTTACTTTTTATGCCATTGAATGTGTTAAGTCATAAAAGTCATATTGATTTAAAGCGCTCACTAATGACAGCGCCAGTTGGTCGAGAAAGCTATTTTTCAAACTGATAACGAGGATACGAAAGCACATCTTGATGGCAAATTAAAAATACCGCATTGATTTAATCAAAAGATAACATCACGCTAATTCACTTGACATTTGGCACAATGCTTTGTCCTCGTTTTTTTCAGTGAAATAACAAAATAAAACTGGTGTCTTTCGCCTTCCGATCGCCTACAGTATATACTGAGTTTATCATAAGCGTAAATGGAGCATTGGGGTAATGGTTTGCTGCTTAACTTTTTAAAGATCAAATGAAATCCATATAGCTAGACTATATAGTATATGGTTACATTTAATATCCATTGCGTATCGCGCAACGCTGGGCTTAGGAATTGTGATAAGCAGTTTGGAAATAGATTGTGATAAACTGCATTAGCTATAGTGTTTCGTAGGTCTTGTTTTGAAAGACGTTTAATTTTTTTGTTAAAACTGACTTCGTACTTCGGAAAGCGTGGATATGACAAGGGCAGAAAGACTGCCTTTTGGAGCCAATTTTATTCAATTTAATACGGAGGATATAATGGCTTATGGCTCTTGACTAACAAGTTAAAAGTCAGTTAATTCGACTATGTACTTGCTTGATTATTAAACCTATCACTTCACGATTGAAAACTACTGATGATAGCATAAAACAGCTCTCCTTGTATGAAATTTCCTGTAAGAAAACTTTTCTAAAAGTGTCGAACTGTCTAACAGTAGGTTATCTGATAAAAGCACATAGCTCTAGTAAGACGCATCAATCATGTACAATATATATGTACAATAACATCGCCAAAAAATCTCTCAACTATGAACTATACAAAAAGAATCGAAATAAAAAGGCCTGACTTTAAATATCTGTTGGCACCTGATTAAAACTACGACATGTGTGCAAGTCGGTAATTGCACGTTTCCTTATCTCAAGTCGGGTCTACGAGAATAAATGTCATCGATAACTATACTAAATTCAGCATCGTAGTTCGGTATGCGCGCGTTTTATGTTAAACAAGAACAGATTGAAATGAAGCCTATAAAACCTAATGAGATATACTTATAAGTCTTATAGCATCTCAGGAACTCGAAATAGTTAATATCTTAAATGCGCGCACAAAAATAAAAGCGTGCGGGCAAATGACGCAATGGACGCGGTAATTATGCTAACAAGGTCTTGAAACGAGCTGTCAAAACATCAGGAAAATACCGTATCCTGTTTAAAAAGCCTCAAGTTAACCTAAACAACAATTAGTTTTGGTATTCATGAGCTAAAGCACGCACATTTGCTTTTCAAGAATGTTTTTCCAAGTACATTGGAGGCTTTTCATTATTGAATGTAATTAATTTAGGCAACAGGCTTTAATTCAATTAAGTCTCGAGTATATTGAGGTAAAAGCGTGTGGACATTAAAAATATGTTCATTTAAATTCCACTTCATCTTGATAACAGAGACAATCAGGCCACCTGGGCTTGTTATCAACCATGGCATTTAGGCAGGGGGGTTCTCACTTCTCAAGCAAGGCATTTAGTCAGGGGGGTTATCAACCATGGCATATAGGCAGGGGGGGTTGTCAACCATAGCATTCAGGCAGGGGGGTTATCAACCATGGCATATAGGCAGGGGGGTTATCAAGCATGGCATTTAGTCAGGGGGGTTATCAACCATGGCATTCAGGCAGGGGGGTTGTCAATCATGGCATATAGTCAGGGGGGTTGTCAATCATGGCATTTAGGGAGGGGCATTGAACTAATTTTGGACAGGAAATTTCATATACCCCATCTACACTTTGGTTTGATTTATATGGAATAATAAAACACTCTTCTCATATTTCCCCTCGGGCCTCACGGCAGGCCTTTTATTTTAGACAAAGGCAATCTTAGCCCAGGTCAAAATAGTCAAAGTGGTTTACTGGGTGGGTGGCAAAAAGATCCCGACATAAAATTATTGTTGAACCTGAAAACTATGTTCGTTTTCATCAGTTCAACAATAATTAATACATAATTAATAATTCATGCCATTTTATGTTTCATTACTTTAATAATATATCTCCAAAAGGAACCCTACTGCAGTTATTCTCAAAAACGGTACGATTAAAGATAATGATTAAACGTAAAATATATTATATAAAATATTTAAAAATATATCACTCACCATTAAAATTGAAAGATTTCTCAAATTAGTCGCCAGGTTCCTTCAAAGCGCTGAATCCAAGATGGCGTCCTTTCCAGCTTGTTCAAATTTTCGTCGAACTTTTTTACTTTCTGCGCGATTTCTACGAAGCAACAACGTTCAGAGTTTTAGCTCCACTACGTATGTGTATTTTTAGAATTTCTGAGTCTTTAATCAACAATATACAAGTACAATTATCAGTTAAATTTACCTTAGCTGATGCTATAGTTAATACTTGCTTTTTGATATTAAAAACAGTGGTCACTCTGACGAAGGAGACATACCAAAAGCAGCTAGTTCGCACACAGTTCCTGCTTCAATATTTCATGATAACCTAGTCAGGTTTGTAGAATATGTAGACGAATATATCTGTCTAAAATGTGAGCTCAAAATTGCTCTAGTCCCAGACCTCCTCCTCCTGCAGGTTTTTTCAGGGATTTTTTAGGGCCGTTAAACGGCCCCAAAAACTCAATCTTGAATTGAGTTTTGAAACTCAATCTTCTCACCAAAGTTTTAGTGCAGTAAAAATGATGTTGTTTGAGCTAAATTTGTGACGTGTGGAATCCCGTCAATTAAAAAAAAAAATGGCTGGAATTCATCTCACAACACAAGAAAAACTATGCATTCGCCATCTTTAACCAATTTATAGTGTCCCTTAGTGCCCCTGCTTTAACACATTCCGTCTCAACTACATTTATTGAGTACAGGTGTCAGTTGCCCGGTGTCAGTTGCCCGGTGCAGCCACCCCAGCTGTTCAGCTAAACTCAATCTTCTCTGCAAAAACAGACCCAAGAGAAAATCCTGAAAAAACCCTGTCCTGGGAACACTACATACATTTGTTCCATCAACTGGTCTATTAATATTAACTATGGTCTATTTTAGCCATCCAGATATCACACATGAAACTACACTCTTACTCTAATCAAAGACTATACAACTGTGGCTAGAAAGTATGCCGCATTCATCTATATTTGGCCTTGAGTCAATAATTCCAATATTTAGTTGCAAATGCAAAATTTTTCATTATTAGCAAGTTTATCAACTCAATGATGTATGATGGTAAGAAGTCTTTGTCACAGAGAATTATGCTTAACGTGAGTTTGTATTAACAGCATTATTTAACACATCAACTTTTCTTTACTCGTAAATGAACTACCCAAAAAGCAAACATACATTTGACTTTTTTCAATCTAGACCTTTGAATGTATCAAGAAGAAACAAGTTGCATTGTAAGCAGAATACATTTTGAATGCAAATTTGATTATTGATTATATTAATTGATTGGTTGATTATATTAATTGATTGATTGATAATATTGACTGGTTGATTATATTTATTGATTATATTGATTGGTTTATAACATCAATTGATTGATTCTATTGATTGATTATATTGATTGGTTGATTATATTGATTGATTATATTGATTTCCTGTAGAAAATTATCAAGCAAGAAACCAGATGAAGTTCAAACAGATCCTCTGTCAATATTCCACACAGCAATGGAAAATGCTCAGCCTGTAGTCGGAGTTCAACCCATCAAAAAAGCAGGAAAAACCTACCAGGTTTGACTGAGTCTGAAATTACTGTATAAAGTAACGGTCGTGGCCAATTTGAAAATATTCACACTTGTTCCAGGAGTGAGAAAATTTAAGTACATGTTGCAATTCTGCCACATATAATGCTAACTGGCGGTTGATACAGAGTATGCAGGTTTCCCTAATCACTAATTCTCTAAGTTCAACTTATATTGCAGGTTCCAACTCCACTAACGGCCAACAGACGGAGGTTTCTGGCCATCAAATGGCTTATAGGTACAGCGCGTGATAAACCTGGTCCAAGAAATGCCAAAATGTACGAGAAATTATGTCAAGAAATACTCAATGCTTATAACAACGAGGTAAAATACTCAATGCTTATAACAACGAGGTAAAACATTCAACAAAGCCTGGTTCACACTGATCCCAGTAGGAATTTTGCATAGGTACATTCTAGGTTTTGAAGGATTTGTAAGAAATGTTTGAGGGTTTTGATTCAGTGTTTAATACTAACGCCCGTATTCTAAAAGCTCACTCACACTCAATGAGTGAAGATTCAATCTGGGCTTCTCTTGAGTGTCAATGTTGTTTTTGAATAGCTGGAGGGTGAGTAGTCACATAGTAAGGTATGACACTAACCCTCCAGCTATTCAAAAACAGCAACGACACTCGAGAGAAGCTCAGATTGAACTTCCACTCATTGAGTGTGAGTGTACTTTTAGAATACGGGCGTAAGTCAGTTCCCAAATTCTTCAAAACTTAGAATTTAATACCGATGTAAAATTCCTTCTGTGATCACAGAAACTTGGGTAGTGGAACCAGGCTGCTGCATCGTCAGCACGATGATAGATTGTAATTATTTTGTCTTTTTGTCTTTCAGGGTGCTGTGGTTCAAAGAAAACGTGATCTTCACAAACTTGCTGAAAGTAATCGAGCATTTGCGAACTTTAGATGGTGGTGATTTCCGCTTGGGGACACGTTTGAATTTATGCAATGTGGAGCATTTCAATCATCTTCACAGCAGACCGTGTGAGGCTTAGTAGACATCGTGTGTCTTGACAATACCACAAAATATTTTCACACTCCGAGGAAATCGAGTGGGCACCAACTAAAAAGGACGACATTACTGTTAAAACTTGCGCATGTCCGATATGAAACATTGAAAATTGAAATAAAAATACAGAAAACATTTTGGTGTATGTCGGCTTTATTTATTCACGTCTTACTCAATAAATCTACAAGAAGCTACTAGAGCCAGTTGTTTGAAAGCTGATTAACTCATAATCCTGATCTTAACATTGACACAACTTTTACCTCAATCCTAACTTTAATCCTGGAACTGCCCTAACCTTGTACCAATAGTCATCATTACATCACGCTGACGTCATCGTTACACCATAATGACGTCACCATTGCATCATGGTTATATAATATAGTGACGACGTCATCATTATATTATGACGTTATCACGACGTCATCATTGTTGCGTCACGATGACGTCATCACTTCAGGAATGAAATCTAAAAGTTGATTCAATCCAAGACAAAGATTAATTGGTTTTCAAACAACCAGCTAGATATATTTCTACACGTGCGACATGTTCTTTCCCCGCGTGATTTACACGCACTTACAGCAGAACCTCGTCTTGCCAATGAGATCTTGAATGGTCTGCGCCACGCCACTGAGAGTGCCCTGAAGATCTCGGAGGAAATTACGTATTGAACACGCGGCATCACACTTGCATTCTAACCCTGCCTTGCATTTACCCGGATCCTCTTTCGCACCTAAGTATCCACAGACGTTCCCTCTGCGAGAGGGAGGGACGCAGGTATGACTTAAGGGGTCACACCAGTACTTCTTCTGGTAGTTGCAGCGACGACCTGGTATTGAAGAGAAGATTACGTCACGCTATACCACTTGGGTTATATTGGTGAGTTTAGTAAGAGTTACCAGAGTCAATACAATAAGGTTAAAGAAATCGATGCAGACATAATACACCTCATTATCTGTTTTTGTATATGATTCTTGCATAAACCAAGGCAAAAACATGTGAGCCCCCCTGCCAAGCTTATGCTTTTGGGTAAAGACCTAAATAAAGTTTATATAAAAAAAAAGCAACAAAGCTACTCAGTAGAAATATTGTACCTTCAGCACTGTTAAAACCAGAGACACATTTCTCGCCAATGTTTCCCATGCGTTGACACGTGTGGTAAACAGGACGACAGTATAATCCTTCTCCACAATGCCTGGTCAGATGACATCGTTCACCCTCTTTGCCAGCTCTCTTGCAAACATGGGTGCCAGCCTCACACTGCAGACCCGGGCCGCATTTACAGAAAAACGAACAACCACCTCCCTCTTCTAACTGGCAATTCTCATACGCACCAAGGGAAATGCCTGCAAAGCTGAACAGAACCACTGCAGCAAAAATATAATGAGACATCGTTGAATACTAGAAAAAAATCGAGTTTTAGTGAATAGACACTTCCAAAATTTGCTCGAGTGCACACCGGAGTCACTGCAAGCTTGGAGCTTGTTAGGTAATTGGATAAAATTATTACGGTACTAATTTCTATGAAAGTTTCTATAGAGTTAGAAATAAAATCATGCATGAAAAAGAAAGGCTCAAATCAATATTCAAACAAAGAGAAAATAAAATTAAAAGACATTACCTTGTGCAAAATTACTTTGAAACACTCTTCTAACAAGAAACCAATTTCTTGTTGAACTGGGAGTGCTCAGCACACGTATTTATAACACAGCACCCATATTCCTTAAATCAAATTCTGTCATTTTGACCAACCCAGATTAACACAGCTGCCATCTTGTGTAGATTTTCAACAGCAGTTTAAACAGCGTTAATTAATTTTTAATTTTTACTTGTTTTACCAAATTGGATGTCAAGTGTTTACTTCGAGGTAGGCTTTTTTTAGACTTAGAAATCTTCGGGGAATGGGGGAATATCTTGCGGAATATCATATTCCCCCTTTTAAATCATTAAGCTGCAGAGCTTCCCCATTGACGAGTAAAATTGCCTGGCGTTAGACAAGTAAAAAAATAAGTAGGGCGCACTGGGGCTCAATGGGTTAAAAGGGGGAATATGATATACCAAGAGATATTCCCCCATTCCCCTTTTAAAGATAGCCTTTGACAAAGTGTCCAATGGATTGTGCTATAAATCAGTAAGTACATTGGCTCTATTGCCAGTATTAAAGCTAAATTATACTTTTAAAGCTACCTTACTAGCTGAACATCTTAAAGGAATTTGGAAATGAAATCAACGATTTGTGGATAACTATTAGAAAATATTTTTGAAAATCGTAGAACTGATATAGACTTTTGCTTAAATTAATATTCTTCTTCAAAAAATTTACATCATCCAGAAAAATCTCCTACTTCAATTTTGTGCATATATTAGGCAAATAAAATGCAGACTTTGCCCAACTGAGCAAATAATTGTTTTAACAATATTAAGGTTTCATGCACAATAACAATTGTTTTAACAATATTAAAATATTTTGATGAACCTCGTCCAATAATTGTGTTCTTAGTAAACTTATTTTTAATTTGTATTTGTGTTCACACCCGCATTTTTTCATGTCCTATTCTTAAAAACATTTGTGGAAAATAATTAAATTTCGGCATTGATCAATGTTGTGGGTTTTTTTTAATCTGAACTACGTAATTAAAGAAAAAATGTTTTGCTTGTGTAGCTCATTTCTGCTGTACATAATTATGATTTGTTAAAATACATGTATTTATTTGACTTTGCAAATGCACCGAATCAGACATCAACTAATATATAAAACATGATATATAGATATACAATCAAACACGAGCCGAGAATGATTGATTTCGTTGAAAACGTTGGAATTCTTCAATTATCTTAAATACACGAATGACATTTGCCAATTTAGTGATTTATGTAAACTATATATGAGAGTACAATTTTTCTCAGCCGGATTTTGTATCAGATATTCAAGCTCTTTCACTCTCGTCACTTCCTTTTATCATGAATTATTATCATTAATAATTTATCAGTACAATATATACCATCTAAAAGACTAAATCTTATTAAAGAACTTAAATCTTATTACTTTTATAATTTATGCTCAAGAATTATCTACCGGGTGTCCCCCCAAAAAACTGGACACTGTTTGATTCATGTAGCGTAAAAGCCAATCTCGTTCCCCGAGCCTGCGATCCTCGGGAAGGAACGCGATAATCCGTTGCCGGAAGCCAGGAATTCTGGCTACGATTGAACTACGCATTCCATTTCAACGGCCAATCAGATTCCTCCCTGAAACGGATTATCCCAGAGCCTCGCGTTCCTTCCCGAGGATCGCAGGCTCGGGGAACGAGATTGCGTAAAAGCTATACAAGCTATCGCAATGAAATAAAGATCATTGCATTCAGAAATGATAAACGTAGATTTTGATATATAACACTTGAATTTACATGCAATATTAACTGCGCTATTGATGTTTGAACGTTGAACTACTGTTTTGGAAAATACCAAAATTAGCACAAAACAACTTTATAATTACCAATGTAGTTATACTTGTTAAATAAAAAATATTTTTATTTTGGTTGTTTCTATTGCATGTAAATTCAAGTGTTATATATCAAATTCTAAGTTAGTCCTTTCTGAATGCATTGATCTTTATTTCATTGCGATAGCTTTTATTGCTTTTACGTCACATGAAATCAAACATTGTCCAGTTTTTTTGGGGACATCCGGTACAACTGGTCACAGAAGCTTATAATAATGTGAGAAAATTCTGACTGTTCCCAATAACTTAATCGCAGCGATATTAGTCTAATCTAAATGCTATTCGTAACTCCAATCATTTCCTATTCTCTCAAGCCAGACTGTGGAAAGTTGTACTGTACGATTTACCAGATAATTTCCTCAGATTAAATATACTATAGTCTATATCCAATAAATTAAAATTCAGATATTTATCCCTCATTTTATACTTATCCATATTAGTTTCTTCATTTCTAAACTCGTTGAATTTCGAAGAGTTTTACATCTGTGTCATACCAGATGGGTGGATCGATGTTCCTAAATAATAGACAACAGAGAATTACCTAGGTAATATCATAGAGAAGGGGTAAAATCCACGAGAAGGGGGGGGGGGAGGAGGAGGAAAAAGAAGGGGGTGCGGCCCCACACACTTATCTCTTACCTTAAGTAAACTATCCCCCACATATATGTACGAAACCACATCTGTGTACCGCTGTTTGCCTATGTGGACAAAATGAAGTTTAACAGGCTATTCACAATATTGTTTTACATGTTAGAGTCAGAATACCGGTCATAAAGTATAAACAGATATTTACCTGGTATTTTCTTATCAATATCGGATGGGGTACAGGCAGTAGACCAACCAACGTGCCATGTTGAAGGAACTTTAAGATCTCTGATTCATCCGTCAATCCCCTGAAGAAAAATAGAGGATAAATAACGTTAGTTTAGAACAGGTTTCCTCCTGTGGTAATACAAGTTACAAAAGATCAATAAGAGATGATCCTTATTGGACCTCTGGGGAGGAGAGTTTAGAACTGATAGAGTTATCTAGTATAAATAAAGTTAGTTTAGTTTAAGTTTCCTCCTGTAGTAACACTGGATCAATAAGAGATGATCCTTACTGGACCTCTAGGAAGAACTGTTTAGAACTGATAGAGTTATCTAGTATAAATAAAGTTAGTTTAGTTTAAATTTCCTCCTGTAGTAACACTGGATCAATAAGAGATGATCCTTACTGGACCTCTAGGGAGAACAGTCTAGAACTGATAGAGATATCCAGAATAAATAAAGTTAGTTCAGTTGAAGCCTAAACGTCCATTTCTTACTTGTCTATGCAGATTTTTTCGACTTGTGGTACAAGAACTTGTAACATTCTCATAATTGTCTGAAGTGGTAATTTTTGTTTCCAAGACTGGATCTGTTGAAAAAGACAGTAGACAACGTTGGTATGGGTGGGTTTCATGGTTAAGCACACTCGTGCAGCAGATGGTGGTCAACCAGCATTTATCAGAATGAGGAAATAATGTTAATCCTTTTCGTTATATGTAGTAGCCTTGTATTTGGAAGAAAACAGATAGAATAGAGACTATCGCCTGTATTCTAAAAGCTCACTCACACTCAAAGAGTGGAGGTTCAATGTGAGCTTCTCTTGAGTGTCATTGCTGTTTTTGAATAGCTGGAGGGTTAGTGTCGTACCTTACTATGTGACTACTCACCCTCCAGCTATTCAAAAACAGCAATGACACTCAAGGGAAGCTCAGATTGAACCTACACTCTTTGAGTATGAGTGTGCTTTCAGAGTACTGTATAATATGCTCCTATAAAATGTGACACCCTATAAAACACTAACACTCGTAAAGTTACCCACCATCTGCTGCCAATAATGCTCACTAATACGTGAATCAAATCTAAAGAATCAAAATTTATGAGGTGAAGAATTACCCATTCAGATGTGGCGACAAACGAGCCAGTACTGGAGACCGACTGTGACCGACCAATCACTTTACGATACGAACTGTCTTTTGTTGTTGCCGACTGGTGACTGGAGGTTGCCGCTGACCCAGCGTCACTATCACTTGAGTCTGCATCCACACCAGTTCGGTGTACTTCTTCCACTAAAACAGATCGATCAAAATGTGCAGAACTACAGCTGTTTTCAGCAATGACGGCGACTCCACATTCACATAAGCTCACATAAAACATTTCATTGTAATATTGTTGGAACATTAATCTAAAACACTAATCCTAACTGTAATCTAAAATATTACTAACTTCAACTCTAACTTAATCTAAAATAAACTAATCTAATCTCCAACCTTCACCTCAATCCTAATCTTAATCTCAAATCTAATCCGAATCACAGTGATAAGGTTTTACCTTGAGCTTCAATTTGAGGTAGTTTGTCTGTAAGTGGTTTATCTTCCCTAAAAATTGAGCAAAGATTTAAGCAAGTTCACAAGCCAAGAAAGGAGTGAGAAAAATACAACTACCTAAAAAATATGAGCAGAACTTCGTCTGAACTACAGTAGCTTTCCGACGAAGCGCCTTCGCTCGAAACGTCGAAGTTCTCCTTATATTTTTCAGGTAGTTGTATCCCTACCAATCCGAAGCTTTCTTATTCTCGTCACTACCTCCACTGGCACCGAGAGAAAGAATACTGGACGTTTGAGGTAACATTTGGACTTACTCTTCACTGGAGGATTCGGAACCTTTTCGTCTTCGTCTTGGCCTCCTGGCTGTGCTCGGATCAGTGGAGAGATTCGCAAGCTACGGGGACAGAATTGGTAAAAATCATAACAATATTGCACAATATTTTCCTCCTCATTAGGGGAGGAGGCTCATCAGAGAGCTACGGGTAGACAATTGGTAAAAATTTATATCAATATTTCAAAACATTTTCCTCCTCATTAGGATGGGGAGCTCATCAGAAAGCTACGGGTAGACAATTGGTAAAAATTATACCAATATTTCAAAACATTTCCCTCCTACAGCCACTGGGTATTTGATGAAATACAAAACAGCTGTTACTCCGAATATGAAAATTTTAATAAATATTTTCTGCAGGTCGGATTCTTCAAAACGTTCATAGTCGGAGCTAGTGTTGTTTTGTATTTCTTTCTAATACAATTAATTTCTTTCTAATACAATTAATAAGTACGCTCTATACCTGATGAAACATGTTTCTCTTCCTTATAATGGCGTAAATCAGATGTGAATTGCCTGAAATTCAAAAGGTTTAGGAAAGCAATTTAGCCGATTCTTATCAACAGACATATTCGACTACATATATAGTTTGCAAAAGCAACAGCTTTATAAATTGATAGAAAAGTAAATCTGTCGTTATCTTACCATCAAACTGGTATTGTATGATATTATTAAATATTTCCAGTAAAAAGAAGACCAAATGATGATTTGTTGCACCAGAGAACAAAAACCATGGAGTTGAAAATGCCTGAAAAAGATTTAAAAGCACTTTGTCAATTTAAAACTTCATACTGAAGCTGGATCATCCAGAAATCGAACTTAAAACAGACGCCACTTACTTCAAGCAAATGTAATAGTTTATTCGACGTCACCATCGATAGCGATTTCAAATACGGAGAAACTAAAAGCATACAAACAGTCGATAAGAAAATAAATAAATTTGTACAAAAAAAAGTGGGACATAACTCTATTCTTACTTACCATTGACAATTATAGTCAACAGGCAATCGTATAACGGCTGAAGTCTTTGATGTCCTGTCGTTATAATTTTATGAAACACCTACAAACAATTAGACATTAAAGCAACTGCACGCATTCATCTATTCGTTTTAAAGCAAGTGAAAAATGTACTTTAAACACTCACAATTATCAAGAGATCGGCGTGGGTTCCTGTGAATACAGGAATATCCATAGGTATCCTAACAGCGTAGGGTTTATTTAGGCGAACACCTGCGAGGAGAGTTTCAAAAAGAATGTTGAACGCGTGGTATACACATCTGGGGCCGGTTGTACGAAGGGATAGCGCTATCCACCGGATGATTTTTTCAAGCTTTGTTAAATCACGTATTAAAGTTTAGTATTTATAAGTTAAATGTTTGTTATACTTCTTGTATCGTCTAATATCCGTAGTTTCACAGTTTTCAAGCATTTTACAAAGGTTGAAAAAATCACTATCCGACCTTCGTACAACCTGCCCCAGGACACGAAACGGTGCGGATTACTTTTGCGTTTTGCTTGTGAATTATTAATGATTTGAAGAAGTTGCATTTAGAAAATCTTACCAAAGTTTCTTTCCCCACTGAGCAACAACAAAATGAACACACCGATATGCATTAAACCCAGACGCGATTGGTCTGATCTTGCATCGTTCAAGTGATATAAGATTGGTACCAATATTTCCAACACATCACTGCTTTTTAACACGAAGAACAAAAATTTCTAACAAGAAAGGAAAGATCGTAAATATTCAGCTGCTGTTACCATACAAATATTGTGTGAGGTGTATAGTGCTTTTCGCGCAATTTTATTGGTTGCTCATGTCCTTATTATATATTTTCTTATTAATATTTTATAACTTTTTATTATATATTTTATACTTTAGTTCTTTTTCTTACTTTATTCAAGTCGCACATTTTCCAGAATAACACCAATAACTCTTGGTGAAAGCTGATTTTCTTCGTGGAATTTGGAAGATACGTCTACAAAACAAGGGAATTTGTTTGGATAAAAAAATAGTTTCTAGCAGATACCAAAACTCACTCAGCTGTGAATGAAAAGAACTTGCGTTGCAATCTTACCTGGATGAGTGGGTTATTTAAAAGTTGCGCAAGACCATGGAGAATGAAGTGAAAGTCCTGAAATGATAATTTATTTAATCACAAATGTTTTAACTGGAACTAATGTATACGTGGTCTACGTATTGTAACCAGCCCAGCAGTTAACTTTCCTTGTGGGAGTGTTCAGAGGAAAGCCTCGAGGTTTGGGAGAGTATTATCATAATTGGCTCTTTTTACACGAGAGTCTTGAATCAGGAGTGAGAACCAATCCCACGACCTCCGAGTACGACAGAATATCTCACCTCTTCTCGATGTATGCGTGATAAATAATTACAAAACAAGTTTTCCTGCGCACCAAGCTGAAAGGAATTGAAACAACAATCTAGTTTAACTTCATTTATACTGGATAACTCTATCACTTCTAAACAGGTCCAGTAAGGATCATCTCTTATTGATCCAGTGTTACTACAGGAGGAAACCTAAACTAAACTAACTTTATTTATACTGTATAGTTCTATTAGTTCTAACTGTTCTTCCTAGAGGTCCAGTAAGGATCATCTCGTATTGATTCAGTATTACTACAGGAGGAAACCTAGACTAAACTAACTTTATTTTTACTGTATCCTCTACCAGTTCTAAACTGTTCTCTCTGGCTTCCAACTCAAATTTTCATGCAATCCTTTTGTCCTCATACCTCTGGTGTTTGTTCCAAGACACCTTCTTCAGAACTACTCTCTGCGACAGCTCCTGGTGTCTGTTCACTGTTCTGATCTAACAGAACCACCAACAGCTGGGAGGCGACTTCTGCCAGTGGTTCTCTTGTGTCACTGAACATCAGGTGATTGTAACTAACACACAACACAATAATTTAACTGCAAGTTATGGGAATTTCGAATGGATTTCATGCCAAACAGTGGCAGACCTCAGCATAATAATGTTCCACAACAGTTTAAAGCTTATTAAATATTAAAATTATACTCACGGGACACCATAACCAATGGGGTCATAGGCACAGACTGTGTTTAGCAAAGATGTGAATAATGGTAAAGCATGTCTAGAAACAGAAAATTATTAATGCAAGTATGTTGAATTTTCTTTTCTTTGGAATGCACTGTAACAGTCTTTGATAAAAATCAGTGAACAAAACTCAGACCTGTTTTCAGAGGATGAGAAGTGAGCAAGCCATTTGTTTGGAAGTGCTTGATTTTCAGCTGTGGATAAAATACAATGTTCAACAGGGGAACTAAAATAATTCTAGGCCAATAAATACTACTCTCTATAGTACTTTTAGCTGTGAATAGGGAGAGGAGAGAGGGGCTTAATGGAGAAGGGGTTAACCAATTTCTTGCTTTAGTACAAAATAGGGGGGTTTATTAGAGAGGGAGGCTTACTGGAGAGGGGTTTATTAGAGAGGGAGGCTTATTAGAAAGGGGGCTTATTAGAGAGGGGGCTTATTAGAGAGGGGGCTTATTAGAGAAGGAGGCTTATTAGAGAGGGGGCTTATTAGAGAGGGAGGCTTATTAGAGAGGGGACTTATTAGAGAGGGGGTTTATTAGAGAGGGGCTAATTGGAGAGGGGGGCTTATTAGAGAGAGAGAGAGAGAGAGAGAGGCTTATTAGAGAGAGAGAGGCTTGTTAGAGAGGGGGCTTATTAGAGAGGGAGGCTTATTAGATAGAGAGGCTTATTAGAGAGGGAGGCTTATTAGAGAGGGAGGCTTATTAGAGAGGGAGGCTTGTCAGAGAGGGAGGCTTATTAGAGAGATGGGGCTTATTAGAGAGGGAGGCTTATTAGAGAGGGAACCTTATTAGAGAGGGAGGCTTATTAGAGAGGGAACCTTATTAGAGAGGGGGGCTGATTAGAGAGGGAACCTTATTAGAGAGGGGGCTTATTAGAGAGGGAACCTTATTAGAGAGGGGGCTTATTAGAGAGGGAGGCTTGTTAGAGAGGGGGGCTTATTAGAGAGGGGGCTTATTAGAAACAGGGACTTATTAAAGAAGAAGGCTTATTAGAAACAAGGGCTTATTAGAGAGGGGGATTATTACAAAAGAGAGCTTATTAGTAGACAATGTGTAACTTACGTGTGGGAGGTAAATACATGGACTCTGAGAAACATGTTAAGAGAAGTTTTAATATTGCAACTCTGTTGATATCAAACTGAAGATTATGTGGCGGAGACACAGAAAAACCAACACCAGCTTCCCTAGAGGAAAGATATTAGACTCTGTCAAAACTAGTACAAATATTACTAACTATCCTCCCTTATTTCTTGCTTACCAGATGTATTCACAACTATCAATGGTTGAAAGGTCCTCTGGGTTTTCCTAAATAAAAAGTTAATTATAATTATAATTTACATTCATTAAAGTACTGTTGATTTAGGGAGTGAATTTCCATCATTTTTACTTACTGGTCCAATTCTTTTTGTCGCATGAACAGTGAACTCTGGACAAAACAACAAGTCCTAAATATAAAATATAATATTTAATTATATATATATTGTATAGTATTTTGGTGTGTCTAATACAGTATAGTTATTCATATTATACAATACACATACTGCCAAAGCATTCAACAGTGATTGAGCCATTGGAGGTGAGGAGTCTGTATTCTGTAAATTTGAGAAGAGAAATTTAAGCAACAGAAAAAATTAGCAAAAATTACATTAACCCATTGCATTGTACCCACATTATTATTTTATTGTGTCTAACTGCACATGATTTTACTCATTAAGGGGAGAGTGCTGGCACTCAATGGGTTAACTAGAAGACCATACATATGTTTTACCATTTCTCTGCCTGTCAATCCACCAGCATGATCTAAGTCAGCCTGAATTTGAGACAAAAATGCAGTTACTACAATGCAGCAGTTTGCTCTATCTAGTAGTACATATTGTACACTTACAACTTCTCCAGGTACGGTAGACCAGAAGAATCCTCTCCAATCAGGATCCTCAAATATGTAGGGGATGACTCGTGTTAAAATGTGGACACAATTCAGAACTAAGAGAGAGAGAATGTCGACTCAATACGACCTTCTGGAAAGTACGTCAATTTGGCAATAGAGCTTCATTTTCATGCATGCAGCAATAGTTAAAGCCTAGTGTCTCAATCACAAAAACGAGGCTCTGTAGCAAAGGTGACAAACTTTCTTGAAGCATGTATTAGACTCATGGATGAACTGTTGTCTATTCTCAAGTGAATAATATGCACACTATCATATTTGTCTCACCGATGATGTGTTCTTGAGGACCAGTACAACATGTTGCTCGTGCATTCACAATTCGTTCAACACACTAGATAAACAAATAATATTATTGATACAAAAGCAAAAACTGTATATCCAAACATCAAGTTGCTAGCATGTTGCCATCAAGTATTTTTGCTCGACAAATAGCTAATACATCTTTCTGAAAACTATGTCACCTTGGCTATAGGACCTTGTTTTTGTGATCAAGATGTTGGGCTTTAACTTATGTCACACACACAAAAACGAAGCTCTATAGCCAAAGTGACATACTTTCCAGTCTAAGGGTATATTGCCAACTGTTATAATCAACACTAAGAGGTCAACATGTTACACTTAGCAACAAGGTTACCAATACAATTTGGAGTAGGAGGCATTTTGAAAGAAGACAGTAGCTCTATGGTGATCAAGGTACTGCCCACTTGATTCTCTCCCCATCAAGATTTTGAAATTTGGACTCTTTGAAACAGCATTTTTAGCCAATTTGTAGAGTTTTTGTGGAGATTTTTTGTGGAGATCAAAAACATTTAATATCACATAAAATTTGTGTTTTAAACATATCAAACTTTTCCCTCTACATTTCTGTAGTAAGGAAAAATTTGAAGAATAATTTAATTGGTTTACACTGCTGTACATTTAATAGAATATTGATAACTTGAACCCATTAAATTAAATTGTGCACAGTGCATCCCAATTTTATTATTTCACCGTGTCTAAAGCCAGTTTAATCGGTGAAAATTTGATAGTTTACTCTCTAAAATAACTATCAATAAAACAATACTATACAAATGTAAACAAGTACAAAATTAACAAATCAAGCTAGTCAGGTTACTCAGGTATAAAAGATTAAACAGCTGCTTCAATTACAAATTGGATTTAACTTAGACTTTAAAAGACAATATAATTTTAAAAACAATCACTTTATTTATACAATATCCAAAATAACTACTATAATACTTGCTAATTTAATACTCATCTCACAACGTATAAAACGATACCTATTTCGACGTGGCATTACAAACGTGAAGCAAAACATTTCATTTTCAAATTACCTTGTACAAAAGAGTGGCCAAATTTGAAGGGTTTTCGTCCCTTAATGAACGTATTTCCGTCGCAGGAATAAGTGTAAAGATATCACTAACAGTAACATTTGGATCTGTCCAGAATTGAGCCCAAAATGCATCGTCTCCTGCCTCCAAAGCCTGCAAAATTAATGTACATATGAAAGCCATACTTAGCTCTGTAAACAATTGGAAATAGCAGTGATTTAAAGCCTCGCATACCGTTTTTTTCGTTGTCAATTGCACAACAGCTTTTCTGAAGGCAAGTTTCGTATCAGTATTGCCCATTTCAAAAACTTTTGATCTCCCAAACAGTGAAAATATCACGAAACTTTTCAGACTCTCAACCCACTCATAAACCACAACACAATATAAACCGCCATTAATATTCAAGTTACGTTCCAAAACGAAGCCGTTCCGGAAAGCTCCGATGTTATTTTGCGCGCTAAATATGCTAATTATATAAGTACGTATAAAAAAAGTAAATTGCGCTAAGTGTTGAAAAAGGCGCGCGAAATATGTATTCGTACTTTGAATTTTTACAAAAAAATCCTATTCTTAAAAAGTAATATATAAATTCTACAAATATTTACAGCGCGAAAATGTTTCTATAAAACGTACAGCTAAATTTAGAGTCATATTTATAGACATACAAAAATACTACAAATACCTTTTAAATATATAGTTTAAAGCCCTGATCAAACGAAAACGCAAGTCATCGCAAGTAAACTTGCCCTGAATTGCGATGGACCGATCAAACGATACGCAAGTTATCGCAACAATTTGCAATATTTGGCCCGCGTGCGGGTAATTTTGTGAAAAATTGCAAAAATGCAAACAAAACATGGCCGTCATTAAACCCATTTAAAACGAATGTAAAAACTTTTGAAAATGCCATGTAACATGAAGCGAAAAGCTGCCACATCATTGTTTTTTTCTACTTGAAGACGAAACGTCTCAGGCTTGGAAACGTGGAAAAACAAGAGAATGGATCAAGCGAAGATCAGAAAAAGGTCATTTTTATACTAGAGACTATGGTTTCCATGGAAACTGGTCTAAAAAACTCGCTTGAACTTGCACTTCCTGATCAAAGCTTGCGATGAAGTTTGAATCTTTGAACCAGCTCAAATCATTCGCAAGTCATCGCAAGTCAACGCAAGTTGGTGGTCAAACAAGACGCAAGCAAGTGCAACTTAAAACTTGCGATGACTTGCGTTCTCGTTTGATCAGGGCTTAAAGGTTGGTTTCCAAAAACGGAATGGACTTTGGTAGTTTTAGAAACTATGAAAAACCTATGAAAAAATTATTTAATTAAAAAGCAGTTATATTCCTGGTACAAAATATTGAGGATCGGAACTTAAAAATGGCCCGATGTCATAAGGCGAACCTGCGCAATAAAAAATATAGTTTTCTTTGCACATTTAAGAATCTTTAGCACAACAATCAAAGATCACTCGTATTTCTCTAGAAACATTCTCAATACTTCAAAAGCATTTTCACTTTGGTTGACATCAAAATCAGGCAACATTTCCCCATGCTCATTGTTATTCCCCTCCTTGTCAAACTCATCCAAGACCACCCTCAGTTCTTCGATGGCAAAACGGTCACCTTGTGGCTTGGTCATTCCTCGCTGCAGCGTCTCTTTCCCGCCCGCTGCCTCTTCCTCAATTTCGATGTCGACCTCACCAACATCCATGAGACCTGGCATAAGTCTCCTTTTTGAAGGCCCTCTCTTCATGGATGATGATTTTTGAGGTTTTGCGTAAACGTGTGTTGGGTCAGGTACCAGAGGGGCACTCTTCACTTCCTCCTTTGTAACTCCTGTAGTGAGACCATCCTGGTTGCCAACTTCATCATATAAGGCAAACCCGTCCCCTTGGGGTTGCGAGATTTCACTTCCTGAATCAGCTGCAGGGGCCAAATTTGGCGTCGTAACTTCATCATATAAATCAAACGCGTTTCCTGCCTGGGCTTTCGTGTTTTCGCTTCCAGAATCCTTCGTATCAGCAGCATCTGCGTTCCGGACTTCATCATACAAGCTCGCGTCTCCACTTGGCTGCAATTTTTGGCCTCCTAAATCCGTCTTTGCTGAATTCGAAATCGAGCTCTCAACTTCATCATACAAACCAAACACTTTCTCCTCAGGTTGGGGTTTTTCACTTACAGCCGTACCTGGGCTCGCAACGTCTTCGGATTGACATACGCTTGGTTTTCTTTGGTTTTCATCTTCTTCGGGTTCCTTATTCTCTTCATCAGTTCCATTTAGTTCAGCTAAAGTAACAGAACTTAATTAATACGAGCTATTCAATCAAGGGCTTGAAGGGTTTGTACGATCATCCAGATTAAAATTTTCCATTGTTAATAATTAATTAATATCACTGTAAATTTGTAACTGCAACACGTCTTTGATAATGGTTGCCGTATAGGTAGCCGAAACGTCAAAACAATAAAAAAATATAATCTGGATAATCGTACAATAAACTATTAATACGAGGTCTATTGCTCACTCAGTACTGTCGTGCAGCAGATGTACTAGGTCAACCTGCAGTTATCAGAGTGAGTAAATTATGTTAATGCTTCTGAGAAGCACATCACTTTAGTTCTAGATCAGCCTCGTTTTCGTGTGTGTGGGTGATATCCTTATGTTTCGTGCACAGTAGGGTTTGAGAAGGGATTGGGGTGAAGATTAAAGACCCGCGCACGAAACATGAGAATATTACCTGTATGTTACATAAAGCCCTGGGCAAACTAGGAAACATTGTTGTGGAAACATTTGTGATTCTCGATGTTTCCTCAAATGTTTCCCTGTTTGCCCACCCGTGGAAACATTGTTGCGGAAACAAAATTTGCTTCCCGAGAAGCAAAAATGTTTCCTAGCGAATTCAGAAACATTTGATGTTTCCCTATGTTTCTCACTAATGTTTCCTAGTGTTTGCCACTCTTGGAAACATGGCGAAACATTGGCAGGAAACAATGTTTCCACATCAATGTTTCCTAGTTTGCCCAGGGCTTAAGTGTGTGAAGTCTTGTATTTGGTGGTAAAAAATAGAATTGAAATAGATTAACCTATTGAGTTGTACTGTGGCCTCCTACTTTATTATTTTACTCTGGCGCTTAATGGTTAATTCACTTGCCTCTAGACATTTCGACAGATTGGGAGTTTTCATTTGCCACCATATATAAAACTACAAAGAATTTAACATCTGCTGCACAATAGTGCTTAGTGAACCAGGTTATTTACTGGATCTTTCCTGAATATCATAAAATCATGAAATCAATACCTGACATAGAAGGCAATCGTGCAGGAAGGGGTGGGGGTGCAGCAGCTTGGGGGAAGGGATCTGAGGCCCTACTCATCTTTTGGGTGGGGGAAGTTTTGGTGGTACTAGTATCAACTGTATCGTAGAGGTCTGCGGCAGGTTCAGAATTCTCAGATGTCTTGGATGCAGCTTTTTCATCGATTTTGTCGTAAGTTGGGTCTGCATCCAATATTTCATCTTTGTCTTTGCTTTGTTCGGGATTTTCTTCATCAACCGTGGTCGGAAAATGAACACTTTGGTAGGCACTTAAAACTGGTTTCGCACTGGGCGTGGTTTTGGAGGTGGGTGAGCCAGGGGTGTCAGGTGAGGTGGGTGACTGTGAGGGTTGGGTGTCAGGGGAGGTGGGTGACTGTAAGGGTTCCAGGAAGCCAGTTCCCGAGACAATCAAGGATCGTGTGGGTTTGGTGGGAGGGGATTGGTTTACTGTGGCAAAGTTGAATTCATTATATATACTATGGACCGGCACTTCACTTGAACTTCTGTAACAGAAAAATACAATATATTAGAATATTGTAGAAATAGACACTCAAAGAAAAATACTAAACAACAAAATAGAGACCACATCAATACAGCACATCACAATGCAAGAAAATCAAGGCTTACTTTTTCTGTTTTTCAAGATATTTTGCTTTTGCCATTTGTAGACATTTTATCCAACCTTGTATTTCATCCTCAGTTCTACCAGACTAAACCAAATGTTGAAGAAAATATTTGGCAAATAGTATTGCACTTAACATGCGTGCTGCCACACAGGCTATATTATTCCACTATATAAGTATTACAATTAAGATATTTCTGGGGTACCTACCATATAGTATGTTCTCTTTGTTGATGCATTAGTAGTGATTTGAAATGCATTTTTTTCATTCTTCATTGCAATTACAGATTCTATCTGTGAAGAGAATATTTGAAAACCATTAAGGAGCAATATAAATTGATTATCAATTCATTATTATTCTAATTAAGTAAGTCATTACTGTTCTAATTCATTAGTCAATTAATAATTATCATTCTAATTACTCACTATCTAATTAGTTACTTAATTAAACATTTACCTCAGGCACATCAATGGAACCCAACATATTCTCTGGCTGTAAGAAAATAAAACGTTCTTAATTACAAGGCTTAATTAGACAAATCTATAAATGCAAACAATGTTTTGTCTACAATATTTTTTACCAAAATTTCTTTTGATTTGTAGTATTTCAACTGCCAGCCATCTAGCACAAAGTATCTTGGTCGCCAGCTGTGCATGTGTTTCTGAAAAGTAAAACACACAAGACCAGATGAATTCATGCAAAATCATACAAAAATTGGTCTGACTCCATTTGTTCAGACAGGAAATTGTGTAGTTTGACATGTTCAATAAGTGAAGTGAAACCATGGCAATTTTGAGCACTTTCACTTTGATGTGCCCTATTTTATTATTTTACTCTGCCTAACTCCAGACGATTTTTCTTATCAAGGGGAGAGCACTGACACTCAATACTTAATAACCAATGAATAATTACAAGTAGACAATTAAAAACGTGACCAATACATTGAATTTCAAGTACTCAATGTATTCTGAATTTAAACCTCAAAGTGGCCCGGGTTTAAAATGTATAATTTTACCAAAATTTGATACAAAAGCCTATGTTTTATGTTCATAAAAGTTCGACACAACAAATTAGTAAATTCGAGATGGCCACTGGTCAGTACAGATCAATGAAGATGGCACACTACACTTCCGTGTTTACGGGATATTATTACGTAGAGTATAAAAACGCATTAGTTTTTCATCATAATATGAATTTTAGTCCATAAATGTAAAAATCTAAGATAAACGTACAGCTATTTGTGTACGTTTGTACATGAAAATGGCAAACATTTTATGTTTAGTTAATGTCAAATGGACAATCGAGTGATACTACATCTACTTTACTAATATGTCACAGGAATGCAAATACAAGTAGCGATATTTGTGTTAGCTTCGTTAGTTATTTGAACTGATAAAATATAACATATTATACCTGTATGCCCTTTCCAGCTTTGTTAAGAAAGCCTTCTCTATAGAACTCCATACTGTGAGCAGAATTGTGTTTCAGTGTGGTTTCAGACAAGAAGTAGCAGGTTTTACCGTGAATCAAGTGTTTGTTTTTACAGGAAATAAATGTCATAGTCGATTACACCCACCACGGTTACCGTGCACCCACTAACTACGTGGGAGGGGGGAGGGGGGGTGTTACATGAAGAACATTAGACGGTTAGACCACGTCTTTAAACAACCTTATATTTAATGAATTGCTTAAATTAAAGAATAGTGCTTTTCTGTGAAAATTATCTATACAAACCAAGATTGTTAAATAATGGTTAATGTTGGATATTTTATGTTTTAAACACAACTTTATAATCAAAGTCTTGCTATCCTACTGATATAATATATATACAAACCCTCCCTCGTTGCAATGAAAATTCAATGCACACAAAATATACAATGAAAGTAGCATAATAACATAAGCACTTTCTAAGCTTCACTTCGGCTACCAAGAGACAAAGTTATTTTTCGTAATGCAGGCTGTGCGTAAGGAAACTCTTGGTTCAAGCGGTCGACAATGGTCATCAACGATTGCAGTCGATCTTTCTGTTTTTGTAGCTCAGAGTCGAGAGTTTCAGACGTCTTGCACAGTGTGGTGTATCGACCTTCTTTCACAGCTGTCAGGTGCTTGACCTTCTTCTGGGCTGCTAAGATGTCGGCAAGGTTCTAAAGAAGAAGTAATTGCCAAGAAATTAAATTGAACAAGGAGGAGTTTTTCATCTCTGCTACCCATTGGTGTTTTCGAGTTCGGAAATATGCAGTTGCCTGATTATAATTTTGATTTAGCCACAAGTGAGAAGAGTACTTCCAGTTTCCAGTAACACTGGACCAAGAAGAGATTACCATTACTTAGAGCTATCCGCTATACTGTAGAAAACGTTTGTTTAGTTTATGTTTCCTCCTTTGGTAATATACAATTACTTTATGGTTTTCGTGTTTGGATGGCCTGATCCAAACACGCGGGAATGTTGCGAGAGTTAAGAAAACAACAACTAAGAAAACAAACAACAACAATAACAACTTTCCGTGTTAAAATTTCACTTTTAAAAAACTTTCACTTTAAATTTCCGTGTTTGGATGGCCTGATCCAAACACGGGTTTCGACCAATCAGAGCACGCGTTATATACATGTTATTTTATAATACTGGACCAAGAACGGATGACTCTTATTGGATCTCTGGAGTAAACAGTTCAGAATTGATAGAGCTATCCGCTACAGATTAAGTGAACTAAATTTAAGTTTCCTCCTGTAGTAACACTGAATCAATAAGAGTTTATTTTAACTGGACCTCTAGGAATAACAGTTTAGAACTTATGGAGCTGTCCAGTAAATAAAGTTAGTTTAGTTTAGGTTTCCTCCTGTAGTAACACTGTACCAATAAACGATGACCTTACTGGACCTCTACGGAAAACAGTTTAGAACTGATTGTACAATAAAATTGAAAACGCTTACCCGTTTTCGTTCATCAGTCAATCTATCAATATTCAAGTCAGCCTCGTCCACAGAACTTTGCAACTGATACACTTTACTTTGTTTATCTTCCAGCTGTGTACTGACTTGTTGTTGATTTTCTTGAAGAGAGCGAATGTCTTTATCACAATCGTTCGCATCATTATTTGTCTGCTTTATTTTCTTTTTTAGTTCAGCGACTTTTCTTTGGTAAGCTCCCTTTGTGTTCACACTTTTCCCCGTCTTCGTTTGAGCATCACCTCTGTAGGATAGACGTAACAGTCACAGTAAGGTTGAACGTTCTGCGCATGTTCGAACATGCCAGATAATTTATGGAATTAAAGAGATCAGAAGATGTGGTGTGGTAGACATTGCAGAGAAGATGACAAGAACCAAAGATGAAATGTTATGGACATGTAATAAGGATAGATGATGGATAACCAGTCAGAGACATGAAGAGATCAGAGGATGTGGTGTGGTAGACATTGTAGAGAAGGTAAGGGAAGCAAAGATGAAATGTTATGGGCATGTAATAAGGATAGATTATGGATAACCAGTCAGAGACATGGAATGAAGCGATCAGAAGATGTGGTGTGGTAGACATTGCAGAGAAGGTAAGGGAAGCAAAGATGAAATGTTATGGGCATGTAATAAGGATAGATGATGGATAACCAGTCAGAGACATGGAATGAAGAGATCAGAAGATGTGGTGTGGTAGACATTGCAGAGAAGGTAAGGGAAGCAAAGATGAAATTTTATGGGCATGTAATAGGGATAGATTATGGATAACCAGTCAGAGACATGGAATGAAGAGATCAGAGGATGTGGTGTGGTAGACATGGCAGAGAAGGTAAGGGAAGCAAAGATGAAATGTTATGGGCATGTAATAAGGATAGATTATGGATAACCAGTCAGAGACATGGAATGAAGAAATCAGAAGATGTGGTGTGGTAGACAGTGCAGAGAAGGTGAGGGATTGGATTACCTTGTGATAATGAATTCTCTTCTAGTGATGGATTTCTCCATATCTTGGATCATCTTTTCTTGTTGTTTCATCAACTGAGCGTATCGCACCTATATTCAATGGGAAGGTTATTGCTTCAATGGACTGGTAACATATTCACTGGGTTGTTAGGTTTCAGAAAACGTTACAGCGCAGCAGATGGTGTTCAACTTCAAAAATGTTGACTTTTAAAAGAAGGAAGAAAATTAAACTACATCTCTGACGTTATCTTGTACTTGTCATCATAAACAAGACTACGACATATTTTCTAGCTCTGATAACCGCAGGATGACCACCAACTGCTGCACGATAGTGTTTAGTGAAACTCCCTAGTATTAAGCTGGGCAAATGTACACTTTAGACGTTCATACCTGCATACGATGTATTTCTGCTTTCATTGCTTTAATCTCGCCATGACCATAATCGTCATCTACAGTCGCCCTTGCTTCACGTGCTAGCTGAGTCTTCTTCTCCCAAAGCATAATCTGTCTCCTAGACATGAACAAAACATAATTCCAGTAAGTAAAGCTCTTCATTCGTTTAACGATGAGCAAGCAGGGTGATCATGTACTTACTCTGCTTCGACTAAACTGTTCAACAGTCTTTCCTTTTCCTCTTTCATGCCATCGATGTTGCTTTGCAACTCAACTGATTCACGTTCTGCTTCCTGAAGGAAACAATGGTAGAGAAAAAACACGAGTCAATGAGGATACAAAACACTACCATCATCACAATCACCATCATCAACAACAACACTACCACCAACACCACTGCCATCACCAGCACTACCACCACCATCATTCCAACATCATCATACCACCATCATCATCATCATCACCACCACCATCATCACCACCATCATCATCATACCACTACCAACATCATCATACCACCATCATCATCATCATCATACCACCATCATCATCATCATCATCACCATATTCTCACCCTGAGTGTTCGTATAAATTCATCCTCCATAAGGATATTACTCTGTTCCAAATTGTCCTTCATTCCTCTCTCTTTTGTGATCAGAGTATTGAGTTTGGTCATTTCGTTTTGCATGTTGCGAATATTTCGTTCAATATCTTTCATCTCACTTAAATGATGTTGGATGTCACCTAAACACAAAAATATCGACTTCAAAACACTAAACTAACTTTATTTACATTGGATAGCTCTATCAGTTCTAAACTCTTCTTCCTGGAGGTCCAGTAAGGATAATCTCTTATTGATCCAGTGTTACTACAGGAAGAAACCTAAACTAAACTAACTTTTTTACATTGGATAGCTCTATCAGTTCTAAACTGTTCTCCCTAGAGGTCCAGTAAGGGTCATCTCTTATTGATCCAGTGTTACTACAGGAGGAAACCCAAACTAAACTAACTTTATTTATACTGGATAGGCGTCGTACAAATCCAGTAAGAACCATCTCTGAACTGAGGAAAGCCATCGGTGTTTAGCAGAGTCAAACTGGAAGCACTCTTTTCACATGTGTGTGACTGAGATGAAATGAATCGGACAACTGCATATTGCATAAATCGAATCCTGGTCACAGACGTGAAAAGTACATGCACTTACCACTGTGGCACCAACACGAGCAACGATAATTAGGATATAAATTAAACGACTCACCTTCAGTTCGTTGCTTCTTGTGTCGTAAGATGGTATACTGTTTCTTCAGAGACTTAATTTCTTCCGACTGTTGCCCCACCCGTTGAACGGTCTTCACTAACTCGCTCTGGTTCCGAAGCCAAAACTGCTGCAGTTCTATAATGCTGTTATTGGACGCTTCGACCTGCTTCTGCAACGTGCTGATCTGTAGTTCCAAAGGACCCAATTGTTGACCCTAACAAAGAAAGAAAAAATATAAAATGAATCAGTGGCACGGTAGTTCGTGCATGTGTCTTTGACTCTTCTGACCGAGGTTTCATTCCTGCGCTATACAGTTGTCTAACTTCCCGCTATCCAGAATAAATAAAGTTGTTTAGTTTAGGTTACCTCCTGTAGTAACACTGTTGCAATAAAAGATGGCCCTTACTGGATCTCTAGGGTGAACGGTTTAGATTCGATAAAGGTATAAATTATATTAGATAAAGTCACAATCAATTCAATAGAGTCGACAACATGTATAAATTTAAAGATGTTAGATGCGAAACCAGGATTCATATTAAGGGTTTCAAACGTTCACTGGTTAAAAACATTCATTTGGACGAGCTTTCGACTGCCAGTTCTGCAGTCTTCGACGGGTAGATAAATAGTGAACGTTTGAAACCCTTAACATGTATAAACAGTGAACGTTTGAAACCCTTAACATGTATAAACATCAGTGCGCAACATGTGGACAACACGTGAACAACCCTACAACTCACCCCGTCTTTGTTCTTAAGTGTTTCAATCCGTTTATTAAACTGATCCACCATGTTCTGTTTCCTCTCGATGACTGCGTTCTTTTTCACAATATCATTTTCAATCTTCGCTGCCGTCTCATTTTTCTGTCTGATCTCCTCGTTCAGTTGTTTTAAGACGTCTTCAAGATTTCTCCAACGTGTTTGAACGTTGCTGATCGCCATCAGATCTCGCGAGATGTCATTCTCGACCTGCGCTAGTTGGTTGTCCTGAAAAAACACAAGAAGGAATATTCAGAAGCTCTAACCACTGCAGGTCTACAAAATCCATTGTGAAGAGCTAGCCACAAGCAAACCAACAATAGACTAGTGTCTCATCCTAGAAAGTTATCGCCTTTCACTTGTAGAAAGATTCTCTAATCAACCTACCAATTCCGTGCCACGTTTCTTGATCTTATCCGTGACCTTCTTGCTATACTGAGCAGCTTTATCCAAAGTCATTTGACTTCGGAGTTTCTCCATGATGCCTTCCTCGATTCGAACTTTCTCTTCGTACTCTCGCTCAACCTGTTTTCTCAAGGCTGTCAACTCGCTCTCACGTAGCGTTATGTCCTGTATACAGGTGGAAATGTAACATAGAGTAATAAGAAACAACAAAACTTCAGTTGCTAGGCATGCAACTACCTGAAAAATGATATTTTTGTGTGTGTTTTGATGTTATATACTCAGGTGAATAAGTTTTGATGTTACTCTGAGTATATATCCACGACCGGACCACGGTGGGAATCGAACCCGCGACCTTTGGGATACTAATCCAATGCTCTGCCAACTGAGCTACGAGGCCAAATCTGTTCGAGTGCGTGGTATTTCGGAACTAAATCTAGTACCTTCGATACCAATGTGTCCAGTGTGGATATACACTCAGAGTAACATAAAAAACATTACCTGAAAAATACAAAGAGAATTCCTACTATTGTTCAGGTAGTAATGCATCAAACGAAACCAAATACTCTACCATGCTTGTGATGTTATTCTGAGTGTATATCCACACCGGGCAAGCTTGAAAAATATGCCTGACCACGGTGGGAATCGAACCTACGATCTTTGGAATACTAGCCCAATGCTCTTCCAACTGAGCTACGCGGTCAGGTCGGTTCAAGTATGTAAATCATGATTATTAGACTACATTGATATCGAAGGAACTAGATTCTGTTCCGAAATATCACATACTCGAACAGACCTGACCGCGTAGCTCAGTTGGAAGAGCATTGGGCTAGTATTCCAAAGGTCGTAGGTTCGATTCCCACCGTGGACAGGCATATTTTTCAAGGTTGCCCGATGTGGATATACACTCAGAGTAACATCACAAGCATCTTATTCACCTGAGTACATTACACCAACACAGAAAAAATCAAACATCCTACCGTTTTAGCTTTATTCAACGCTTGCTCAGTTTCATGTAGCATCCGACTGTATTTACTATATTCTGTCTTTAGTATCTCCTGTTTGTTCAGACTGACGCCGATCAATTTTTTCACCATGGAGATATCAGCTTCAATTCTGTTCTGCATTAAAGTCAACTGTTCGTTCGTGGCTTGAGCTTTTGAGATGGAGTTCCGGTATCCGTCCAGTTCTGTTTCGATTGTCTTGATGCGTTCTATTTGAAGACTATAGAAAAGTTAAGTAGTAGATGGTTTCACTAAGAACTATCGTGCAGCAGATGGTAGTCAACCTGTAGTTATCAGAGTTCGTATTTTTCTTATATGTAGTGGCAGCGAAAGTAGCAGAACGGAGCTTCGATGGTATGGATACGTTGTAAGAAGAGATGGGGAGCTGGACCTTATGGAATGAAGAGATCAGAAGATGTGAGGTGATAGACATTGCAGAGAAGGTGAGGGAAGCAAAGCAAATCAGAGATGATATGGACATGTAATAAGAAGAGATGAAGGCGAGCTGGTCAGAGACATTATGGAATGAAGAGATCAGAAGAAGATGTGGGGTGATAGACATTAGACATTGTAGAGAAGGTGAGGGAAGCAAAGCAGAGATGGTATGGACACGTAATAAGAAGAGATGAAGGAGAGCTGGTTAGAAACATGATGGAGTTGAAGAGATGAGAAGACGTAAGGTGGAAGACATTGCAGAGAAGGTGAGGGAAGCAAGGCAGAGATGGTATGTACTTGTAAGAAAAGATGAAGGAGAGCTGGTCAGAAACATTATGGAGTTGAAGAGATGAGAAGACGTAAGGTGGAAGACATTAGAGAGTTTGGCAACCTAGAACGGTAACGACAACGGCAACGGGGAAAATATAATTGCTTATATTGTTGTATTTGAGCCAAAGTATACGTTACTATACTTAATTTGCCTCTTTAAGTATTCCTGTTTCTTTCAAACGTACCCTTAAGTAAAAATAGTGAGCGAATTCAAATAAAACACCTCAAATAACATCGAACGAATTAACTGTTGCCGTAGTCATGCACCGTGAAAATGATGCAAATCACGTACTAGTTTCAACAACAACGGCATTGCACAACGCTTAAGACCATGTAATTTACATTCGCCTTTGTCTTTGAGGATTAATGCTATTGTTGATGACCATGTTGCCGTTGCCGTTGCCCTTGTATTTGCCAAACTCTCTATTGTAGAGAAGGTGAGGGAAGCAAAGCAGAGATGGGATGGACACGTAATAAGAAGAGATGAAGGAGAGCTGGTCAGAGACATGATGGAGTTGAAGAAATGAGAATATTTAAGGTGATACTGTGATAGACATTGCAGAGAAGGTGAGGGAAGCAAGGCAGAGATGGTATGGATATGTAATAAGAAGAGATAAAGGAGAGCTGGCCAGAGATTAAGGAATAAGACTTAAGATGGGGGTGACCGAAGAAGATAAATGGGCTGTGTAAGATCTAAATATCAAGGAACTGATGGTGGACATGGTAAAGACAGGAAAAGATGGAAGACAAGAATCCACATCCCAGGTCAGCTTGGGAATGAATAAGAGCAGTAATAAAACAGTACCTGAGAGCTTGCTGCATTGCGGCAAATGCTTCGTCTCGTCTGCTCATTCCAATCAAACTGCTTTGCCATTGCTGGTATAATTGCTTTTTCTCTAACTGTATTGCCTGAAGAACGTACACAAGTTATTCTAATTGAACGCAATATATGCTAATTAAACGCAAAACACGCTAATTAAACGCAAATTATTCTAATTAAGCGCACATTATTCTAATTAAGTGCAAATTAGCATATTAATCATTACTATTATAGTGAACAAAAGTTATTCTAATAAGACGCTAATTATTTTAATCAAGCGGTCACACACCTCTATCTCGGTGACGGCTTCAGAAAGAGTTCTTTGAGCAGATCTTGTCTCTTCTTCTTGTGCGAGAGTTTGTGCATCGTACATCGCAATCTCCTCATGGAGACGATCTACTTTCTGCGTCAGACGATCAACCAAGAAATCCTGAAAAATTGAATAGCAGCAAAAAATTATCATCATTCCTGCCTCTCTTATGAGAAATGTGAAAGTTTGGACGATCTGTTTGGAAGAACATGGGCAAAGAAAGTTCCTCTGATAATTCGTCGGGTATTAATGTGGCAAATAAATGGATTATTTGTCAGGAAGAACTATCTAGGTATTTCGTCACTATTTAGCTTACGTGTGTAGTTCGTCTTGCCATTAGTCTGATGAATCCTCTATGTATCTAATACAGTAAGTACCGGTATTGACATTAGACAGACTGTCAAGAAAAGATTTGTTCTCAGAATATTGCCAGTGAGTACAAATCTTGATATCTCTTGTATGAATTTGGCCTGATTATTGCAGGCAATAGACGATTCCCCTTATTACATTTTCGTAGCGCTTTGCATTGTGGTTATAGTGGTATCACTGATAAAGATAGCGGCCTCTAATGAAAATATTGAATGTTTTCGCGAATATTTTGCTGTTGGCTATCACGTACCTGACCCTAGCTTTTTTTAAAAGTTCTTGCAAGGGTCACTGGACAAAAAATAAGCCATCTTGAATGTCAGTGATACCACTATAACCACAATGCAAAGCGCTACAAAAACGTAATAAGGGGAATCGTCTATTGCGTCGGGAAAGGAAAACATGCAGCCTACGCACCTGTTTCTTTTTAAGTTGTTCAGCCTCCGTGACTTCGCCATGTGCTTTCTCAGCAGCGCGTTTCATCACAGCAATATCAGAACGAACGTCCCCCTTTGCTTCTTGCATGTACAACACACGTGATGCTAAATTCTCCACTTCAGTGCGGAGTTCTTGAACTAAAGAAAAGTTATATACAATACAATGTTTCAATACAAGAAGGCGAAGGTTCTCGTGCCGCCATATTATATAAATTACCGGTAAGTAATTTGTACAAGCGAGAATAGGGCGGAAGATACGAGAACTTCTGGCAACCACGGTAGAATTCACGCAGTGTCCTCAAACATAAAAGTTAAAGTTTTCAGTATCAAATGTTAACAAATTATTTTAATATGAACATATTGCACCTTTCTTTCTTTGGTCAGACAGTATGTTTGTATTCTTCTGGTGAATTTCCTTGACGTTACTCATCGTCCCTTCAGCTTTTGTTCTCAAGTTGTGATTCTCATTATATTTGTCATGTTCTTTCTCAAGTAACATCTGAAGCCTGGCTAGTTCTTGTTGAGAGCTGTACAAGTTCACACCCAGCTCTTCACGATCTTTCTTTTGTCTTGTTAGTTCCTCGAGCTATACAGAGGAAAAGCAAACAGTATATGATTTGGATTCTACAGTCTATTGGTTTTATTGATGGAAATATTGATGTACGTCATGTTTAATCACAACAACAATTCTGAAGGGAAGATTTTTCTGAGGGGCGCTGACTTGGATGTGTGGGGGTGCTGACTTGTTCTGACAAAAGGGGCACTGCCTTCTCCTTGGGGCGGTGGGGTGTCAACTTTCTCTGGGGGGAGGGAACATTGCTTTCTCATGGTGGTGGTGACTATCTAGGAAGAGAGGTGCTTACTTGTTTTGGAGGGAGAAGGTACTACAGTAGTTTTTTTCTTGGGGAGGGAGATGCGGACTTTCACTAAGGGGAGAGGGAGAACTTGCTTTCCATGCCATGCCTTGCCATTCTTGGGAGGGGGTCTCTTACTTCCACCTGGAACATGTTGAATTTCTCTGAGAGAGAAAATATGCAAGTTATTAACAAAAACCTACCACTTCTCTTTCCTCCAGTTCCAATTTCTCCTTCTGCTTGACAAGATGATTTTTATACGCAGTTTGAAATCTCACCATCAAAGGCTGAAAGAAAACAAAACATTTCAGTTATATTACATGGTTGGACTTGGATGCAAATTCCACAAATTATTTGCCTGTAACATTCTACATCAGAACGATAAAATATTACAACAGAACTTACATGATCAGGATCCAAAACAACCAAATCATTGTCGCCGTCTGAGTCATCTGCACCAGAGAGCTCGTCGTCATTTATGACATTGATATTTTCATCAAATTCAACATCATTCATTTCATCCTCAAGTTCATTTTCATCTTGTAACTCGTATTCCTCATCATCTTCAAGCAGGGTTTCACCTTCAGGGCCTTCATTTGCGTCCCCTAAGTTTGTATTTACAGTTTCAGTGTCGCCAGCTCCCGATTCAGAAGCGTTAGTCCCCTCATCATCAAGTCGAAATTCTCGCAAAGCTTTCGCAGTAAGCTGACCAACTGCACTAGTCATGGACTTCTTAGACCCTGTAGAACCTCCTGATTTACCAGAAACTGGTCTGGGCAGTTTAGTTTGTGAAGAATTCCCCTCAGAATCTCGAGGCAAATCGCCTTCCCCTTCGTTTTTGTCGGCCATTTTTTAAAACTCAAGCATTGATGGCGTTTGTTTCTATGGTTACATACCTTGACGAACTTTTCCGATTATTGCTCGAAGTTATCCCGAACAAAAACAAGATGGCGGACTACCAGGTGAGCGGGAATTAAAAAACTAAATTTTAAATCGTAAATTTTATTGGTTTTGTTAAATTTTATCCCACTGAGATAGATTCTAGACTAAGATCCATTAGTAGCGTGTGGTTTAAAGTCATTGTACTGTTTCCTTGTGTTAAATTTAGGCTCAAATTTTAAAAGAACGCATGAAACTACATACGACTATTTTCGGACAAGCATTTTCGCCATGCGGTCACTATTTGGCAGCATGTGATAACTTTGGACGCATTTGTATATTCAGGTAATCTTATCTACACATAGGATTCGATTCACATATACAATTTTCACAATAAAAGAGAGTTAATCTGTAGTTTATTTCAGTGTAACAATATTCTTTATATTTTCACGATTTCAATATTCTTTATAGTCTTGTATCGATATTAAAACCAGAAGATAGTATACTGGACGGTTCTAAACCATTCCTCACCTTTCAAGGTACTGAAATTTAAATAAGATATATTATGTGTGTAAAAATTGTTTGAACTCAACGGTGTCTATCTAGCATTTGGCATTAAAAATACCCCCAGGTGTGCCCCCCCTGTCAGTTCTTACTTCTGTATTTTTATACAAGTATGAGAACTTGCTGAAAACCCAAGCTGCAGGCAACAGTCTTATTTTATAAAAGTCTGAATTCTAATTAGTTCTAATGATGCTAACTAATTTAATGATTAAATATGAATTGTTCTTTAGCTCATAAAGGACCAATTTACTCCCTCATTACTGCAGATAATTTCTTAATTAGGTAAGATACATGCAAATTATCCACTACATTTATGATAGCATACTAAAAGTTAATCTCTAATTTTACATGTTACTATGGTTATTTATATTCTCTTTATTCTGATCATCTTTTTAATATAATCCCTAAAATATCTTATTCGTCTATTTAATATTTTGTGCAAACATTTAATTTACCAGTGGTGGTTCAACAGAAATTTGTGGCTGGCAATGGAAAGATATTCTTATGAAGGTGCGTAAAAACATTTTGCCATTTTTCTTTCAATCAGGAGAGAAACTAACTATGTTCCTTTATATTTCGTTTAGTTCACTGAACCAGCTTGGATGCTTCATCCAGAAAAGTAATTTACGATTAGCATTTCTTGATCGGATGCACTTTACATCAAGTATCATACACTTACCTAATTACATATTTAGCCTAGATTATTTTATCTTTAAAACAATTGTGATATTACTTTCTTAACTGTGTTTATCCTAACCCACCCTGTCAACTTTCCCTGTGGGAGGAAACCAGAGAGCCCGGAGAAAACCCACGACTTTCGGCAGAGCGTTGAGTCGTCGACTGACTCTTTTCACAAGAATCCATAGCGAGAATCCAACCCACGATCTCAGAGGTGAAAGGCGCTTGCTCTGCGCCACTGAAGCTCCATTACTGCAATAGACCTTTCCCCTTATAACCAAAATTTTGATCTAGGCAAGTATAGACAAATATTTCATCACAGCTTGAAAGAGCATCACAAAATTAGTAATATTCCAAAGTTTCATTGCGAAATGTTGTAAAATGAGGAAAATAGAGCCTTGCGAAGTTCGCAATTTTCAGTCATTTTGCATTACAAACGGGAAATTGCAGCCCCAACACCCGAATCGGATGTCAATTTCCCGTTTGTAATACAAAAGGACTGAAAAAACGGCAAACTTCGCAAGGCTATATTATCCGCATTTTACAAGATTTTGCAACAAAACTTTGGAATATTACTAATTTTGTGATGCTCTTTCAAGCTGTGATGAAATTTTTGTCTAGATCGAAATTTTAGTTATAAGGGGAAAGGTCCATTCTCATTTCTGCCTAGTTGATTTAGGAAACTTTAAATTTTAACCTTGGCCAAGCTCGTACCCAGGGCCTGCTAAGGGCGAAGGGTACGAGGTTGAATCTTGGCAAGTTGGCCTGATATATAGTGAGAGGCATCGTGTAAAAAGGATTCCGTTATTTTGTTTTTACAGCAGCGCCTACGGCTACCCAGAAACAAACGCCTTAGTTTACGACAAGGAGGTTTGAAAAATGACATTCAATTGACATCATGTATATACAGTAGAATATACTGCTTCAATTCTCTTGTTCAATTTTTCCCAGAATAACAGGCTCTTTGCTGGATGTGGTGACAATAACATCTACATGTGGGATCTGGAGACGCGAATGCTACAAGTTTGAATTTCACGTTTTATACGATTTAACAAGATATTGTGTAGATTTGACGTGGCAATGGGTATGACAAATAATCTTTTCTTTAACCCTAGAGCACATTCAAAGGGCACACAGATTACATTCAATGTCTTGCATTACGTGAAACCAAGAACCAATTCTTAAGCGGAGCGGAAGATGGCACAGTCAGGGTGTGGGGTGAGGAAACACTCAACTCCAATTTAAATTTCCTGATCGTGTAACATTGTATACTGAAACGTTCAAATCCTCCTTAGATTATAAAAGCAGATCAAACAAAGAATGTCATTGCATAAAACCAAATGGCAACGAGGTAATACAATATTTATGCTCCTATAAAGTGTCAACATTTCAGACGTTGAGCACCATCTAATGTCCTATACCGCTTACTGTAACCCCCTCCCCCCCCCCAGTTGAAAGGCCACAACCCATGTTTCAATACTCACCTACGAGAAGATCTGTTCTTTGTTATAAATACAGTATTGTTTTCCTGTAGGATATCAGCAGATCTTCACTGGGAAAATGGATCGGATGTTTAGCGCTAAACGAGGAACAAGAATGGATGGTACAAAGATTTTATTCAAACAACTCTGTCACTTCTAAACTGTCATCTCTGGTGGTCCTGTAAGGGCATTTTTAGTGATACAGTGTTACTACACGAGACAACCAGAGTACCAGAAAAACGTATTTGTTAGAGTCAAGCTGGAAGAAGTCTTCTCAAATGCGACAGCGGTGAAATTCAGACAATTGAATCGAACCTGAGTCACAGAGGCTAGCTAGGTTTCCACTATACCAGAAAGCTTTCCGTAGCGGCGCGAAAAAGCACCTATCCGATACGGAATGTACAACTTTCAGAAGCTGAGCGAAACAACATTTCTCTGTTGCAATAATTCCTCTGAAAATAGCGTTCCTAAAAGGTACGGATAGCTGTTTCTTCACGTCGCTACGGAAAGCTATCCGGGTACAGTGCAAACGTAACCAGAGGTAACATACCCTGTAGATTTTATTTTTGTGGAGGTAGCCAATCTTTAAATGGAGCTAGACTATGCCACATTCTCGTACCCAGAGCCCGCCTTATACACACGATCAACAGGGCATGACAAGGACGCGGTGTACGAGAATGGGTTTGCCTCAACAGTCAACTGCAGATCAAAATTTAGCCTCTGAACGAGAACAAAATGCCAAGTGTGTCAATGTCATGTTTATGCGCATATTCTGGGTATTTCAGTCTTATTTAATACAGCGGAATATAGAAGTGCATTCTGAGAGTTCTTGCAGTTATTCCAGTTATTCCAGTTAGTCAGTAACTCCTGGTTTAGATAACAAGCTCCAAATGATTTTTGGAGTTAGCAACACAGCAAGTAACTTCAACCTTACATGTATGTACCTAGCGGCTATAGGCTGACTCGCCTCGCTATACACATACTTTTTGGAGTTAGGCAGTAACTCAAGGCTTAGATACCTTGTTTTTTCATGATTTTTGGAGTTATACGTAGCTCCAAATGATTATTGGAGTTAGCCAGTAACTCCAGGCTTAGATGCCTAGCTCCTAAATTATTTTTGCAGTTGTATACTTAGCTCCAAATGATTTTTGGAGTTAGCCAGTAACTCCAGAATTCATATTTCAACTCTTGAATTACACAAGTTACTCAAGTGTATATTTCGGTTTGGAGTTAGCCCTTTAGAGCTTGGAGGTAGTGTCGCTCCATAACTTCCTACTTTCTACAGGCATGACCAGAGGTAACATACCCTGTAACTATATTTCAAACATCAAAATGTAAAAGTTTTGGGAGGTAAAAATGTTCTGTGTGTTTCCTCAGGTCTGTGGCGGTGCTCCGCGACTATCTCTCTGGCATCTTTCATCCTATACTTGCACCAATATAATGGATACGCCAGGATCATGTCAGCAGGCGGCTGTGTTTCATAAAGATCTCGTAAGCAACTCAACCATGATTTTATACTTTTGCTTAACTTCAGACCACCGAGGTGTTGGGATGTCCGATGACAGTGCTCGACACTAGGGGGCCAGGGGTCCTACCCCATACTTTCGGAAAGCCTGTGAATGATACAACTTTTCAACAATGAAAGCATTGCTAGGCTATAAATGAAATCTAAGGGGAAAAGTTAAAAGAACTACTTGGGTGGTGGTCATCCCAGGCGCTCATACTTTGGTAGCCTAGATTCGCCTTCAATATTTCAGCACTCAGAAATAATATTTCTCACGTAGGACTGAGACAAAATTATATTGTCCTTGGCACAGGGGTGAAAGGCATATATACCACTTATATGTAACAGACAAGTTCTGACATTGAATCTTTCTTCAGATACTAACAGGTGGAACCAAACCGTATATATACCACTGGCAGACGAATGGTGAACTAAAAACTAAAGTACCTTCAACAGCAACCACAATATATTCTTTGACCATCAACCATTTATCTGGACACGAGGTAGAAGTTTTCTTTCACCATTTGGTGATGATGGTGGTGATGATGATGGTGTATGGTGGTAATGATGATGATAGTGATGATGATTGTGATGATAATGATTGTGATGATAATGATAGTGACGGTAGAGTGGTGATGATTGATGGTGATGATAGTGATGATGGTGATGGCAATGATGATGATGATGATAATGGTGATGACAGTGATGGTGGTAGTGATGATTGATGGTGATGATTGATGGTGATGATGGTGATGATAGTGGTGATGATGATAATGATGACAGTGATGGTGGAAGTGATGGTGATGATTGATCGTGATGATAATGATTAACCACTATATTGATAACATCATGTATTTTTCTTTCCCTAGGTGTTAGTGACAGCAGGAAATTGCTCCAGTGTGGATCTCTTTACAAACTTTGGCTATAAAGCGTTATCCTTGACATTTGTATAATAACTAAAATATCTGGAGATTTCTAGTAAAACTTGTATTATATATATTGTAGTATTCCATGCATTTCATAATTCTCGCGCATTTTACGGAAATATTGCTGCCAAAGAACGATAGAAAAACTCCTTGATCACATTGAAGGTGAATTTTATTAGAACCTTTTCCACAAAATTGCAAGTGTGCAAGTGCGGAGAATTATCTGAGTGTGCAATTATGTAAAATGACAATAATTCTATTCTTTACCAGACAATGTCACAGTCAAATTTTTAGCCTAAATGCTATTTTTTCTAAATTCAATATGTATGGTTGCTTTTTTATGTCTAAACATAGATATACTTAACAGTCTTTAGTGTCGTCCAGTGTCTTGGGACTTGGATGCGTCATTATTGTCCAATTTTAAGAACCTGAGGTGCAAATAATGTATATGGCCAAACTTATACTCCAGATGGAAACAGTTCCTCGACAGCGACTCAATCGAGGCAGGAAATAGAATGGGCGTTTATATCGAGTCAACGTCGTGAAATTCAACGCTGTATTCCACAGTCAGGGTTTGTACATGTGAGATAGAGTCAAATTCAAGGACTTTTCAAGGCCATGTATCAACGAATTCAAGGACTAAATACTGATGAAAATGGGTCAGAAATCAGTAAAATCTGACGTTGAATTGTTCAAAACGCATCTTTCTCAGATATGCACATGCAAAATCAATTCAACAAAATGTCCGTTTTGAATGTCAAACAATTTCAGAAAATATCCAAAAATTTAAGGACTTTCAAGTACTTCTTTACAAATTCAAGGACATTCAAGGCCTTGAATTTTTGTTTTCAAATTCAAGGACATGCAAAGACATTCAAGGACATTCAAGAACATCCAAGAACATTCAAGGACTTTCAAGTTTGTACGAACCCTGCACAGTTTCAGATTAACAATGTCCCCTTCACCTACATAACAATAATAGTTCTAATACATAGAAGGAAATATTAAACAATACTTGACGGTAATATGGTTCTCTCTACAGCCTCCCTCCAAACCAATACTGGGTTGTTGCATCATCAGAGCTCGCGCATGCGTGAGTTGTACTATCAACAGCTTTGTAGACACCAAAAATGTTCTCATCAGGAATGGTGGAACCAGACTTGAAGTTACATTTTTGATCGCCAAGATAAGCGTTGATTGAGAATATTTCTGTGTTGGTTTGTGTTGCCCAGACATTACAGTTGTAGCATTCCTGGCCTCTGATCTTTATGTAGTTGACACGATGACAGATTGGAGCTGAAGGCAGGAAATATATTGAAAGTATATCAAGTATGCTCTAATTACAGCTACCATTATGACACCATCACTAGTACCATCATCACTATCACCAGAGTCATCACTATGACCACTATCATCGCCACAACTACCATAATCACCACCATCATCAACCATCTCATTATCATCACAATCCACCATCATCGTCGTCATTATCACCACCACAATCACCATCATCAACCATCATCATCAACCATCATTATCATAACAATCCACCATCATCGTCGTCATTATCAACACCACAATCATCACCACAATCACCATCATCATTATCAGTCATCATCAATCGTCATCATCACCACCATCATTATAACGATCACCACCACCAACAGAGACCATAACCACCACCCCAATCTTACCAGGTTCGTGTGGGCATTCCCAGTTTTTACTAAAAGCTTGCACTTCATCATCTGTAAAGGCTGTATTGTAAATCTTCAGGCAAGCGACACGACCATTATACACGTGTTGGTCACTATTGAGCAGTGCACCGATTGTCAAAGCACGATTGCTTTGTGTTCCAAGTTCTCGAGCTGGTGAAAAGCTTGCACGATTTTTACGCTTAAAAATACGTAAGAAATAGAGCTTTTCAGAAACTGGATTTCCAAGTGAGGATCATCTCTTATTGATCCAGTGTTACTAAACCTAAACTAAACTAGTTTTATTTATACTGGATAGCTCTATCAGTTCTAAACTGTTCTCCCTAGAGGTTCAGTAAGGATCCTTATCTTATTGATCCAGTGTTACTACAGGAGGAAACCTAAACTAAACTAACTTTATTTATGGTGGATAGCCCCATCAGTTCTAAACGGTTCTTCCAGGGAGATCCAGTAAGTCAGAGAAAGCAGAAAACCCTTACCACTCCATTGCGATAAATAGATTGTCTGCTATTTTCATAGTCATAGGTAGCTGCCACATAATGCCACTGATTTACTGTAATTTGAGAACTTGAGCTCAAACTCCGTATCGTTTGACCCTCTCTGTTCTGTGTTCTAGAATATTTTTAAAAGGTTAATATAAGACTGTATACCATCACCACGACCACTCCGAACCTGAAGTAAGTTTCAACTACAATCACCAACCACCATCACCATTCACCACAACCATCGTCTTCACCATCGCCGCCACCAACAACCACCACCAGCAGCAACCACCACCAACATCGCACATCACTACTGTCATCACCACCACTTCAAATAAAACGTTTAAAACCTGAAGTGGAGGTTCTCGGACATTGCCCAAAGATAAGGCCCAAAAGAATACGAGGTAGCGCTAGGGTATTGCCAACCAAGCAACTGGGCCTGGGCGGCTGTCGCACGAGTGTACACCTGCATCATTATTGTCAAACTATAGCGAGTGTCCAACATCTTGGAGTTATCATGGAGCTGTAAAGAACAACAATACAAATACTCCTATCAGTTCTAAGAAAGCTTCGGACTGATAGGAATGTAACTACTTTTGAAAAATATTAGAATGTTAGGTGAAAATACAAGGAGAACTTCAAGTTCATTATTGGCACTATCTACCGTTCAAGATTCTATCAGTTCTAGGCTGTTGTTCATTGAGGTGTTGTCTTTTATTTGTCCAGTGTTACTACAGAACGAAACCTACACTAAACCAACTTTTGTTTATGCTGGATAGCTCTGTCAGTTTTAAATTGTTCTCCATAGAGGTCCAGTAAGGATAATTACTACGGGAGGAAACCTAAACTGAACTAGCTTTATTTATACTAGTTTTGAAATTCTCCCCAAACAACCCCAAAACAACCCCCAAAACCAACCCCCGAAACAACCCCCAAAACAACCCCAAAACCAACCCCCCAAACAACCCCGAAACAACCCCAAAACAACCCCCAAAACCAAC